GGCTAATACTTTCCTTGTGTCTTTGGTGTTCTTCATTCTCCTTTACTCCAGGTGGGTTGGGACCGACTGCTGCATCTTAGATGGCCACTTGCAAGCTTTTAAGACCCCAGACACCACTCACCAAAGTAGGATGCAGAACATTTTCTTAATAAGCCTTGTTAAGCCAGTTGACCTAGATGTCCCCTAAAAGCATGGTCCCCAGATCCCTATCCCTGCTACTCTGCCCCTCAAAGTGTTTGACTATATTCGGGAAACTTCTTAGCTTTGGTTTAGTCCAGTTGTGCTGACTTCCCCTGTAATGTGTGCTGTCCTTCCCTTCACCTAAGATAATTCTTAGCTACTATCTAGTTAGTAAATAACCCTCACCCTCCCTCCCCACCCTCGTAACCATCAAAGAATGTTTTCTTCTGTGCATAAACTGCTCATTTTAACATAAGTGGCCAGACTTCTGATGAATTGTCAGACTTAGAAATTACTGAAAACTTAGGATTTTTAAGGGCTTGATTATGCTAAGAGCTGCATATGGGAGTGCTGGCATCAGCAACCTTTCCACTCCCCCTACTCTTCCCCAAGCATGCCTGGCTTGCCAACTTTAGATGGCACAGTTATCTGAGTACTGTCTGGTTACTGATTTATCCGACATCTTCCACTAGCTGAAGTCATCTTGTCACGGTAAATACTTGTTTTTCTAGAGGTGATTATCTTTTTCTTCTGGTGGAGAAGGCACAGTTGGAAACGAGAGGGAGAGAAACAGACTTAAAGAGCAATGGCTTAAATATGAAGTGGCTATTCATATGGAGTGGGGCTAGTAGTTGTTTCTATGAAAACCAAGTTGAATGCTTTGGAAAAAACTAGATAAGTGAGTCACACAGATACACACAAACCTGCTGTCAGGTGTAGGACAGACAAATATAAAAGCCTGCGGTGGGGGAAATTTCATAAAAACCTAGAAAGATTCTGTACTCAGACTACTTTGCAAGTGACTTTAGACATAGACAGTATGTAAACAAATGAGTGTGGCTGTGTTCCAACAAAACTTTATTTACAAAAACTGGCAGCTAGTAGAGACTGGATTTGGCGCCAAGGCTGTCGTTTTTGGATCTCTGTCACCTACACTCCAAGAAAAGGATAAGGCCTAATATCAAAAGAATGGCAAAAGAATGCTTATATTTTAAGTTCAAATAAAATGTTTAACACATGTGTGTAACCAGTATCTGTACAATTCTCTGCTGTAACATACTTTTTCAGTTAACCAACTACTTCCTCTAACTGCATCACAAAAGAGGGTGTGATGGTTAAAGTTTTGTGTCAGCTTGGCTGGGCCATGATTCTCAGTGCTTTGGCAGTTATATAATGATGTAATTTGACAGTTATGTAATGATGCAGTTATCTTCCATTTTGTGATATAATGTAATCATTTCCATGATGTGTTCTGATGTGATCAGCCAATCAGTTGTACGGGGAGTTTCCTCCGGGGTATGGCCTGTATCCAATGTATATGGATGTTCTGGCAAAGTCTGCTGGCTTTTGCTCACTTTGGATCCTGCATCCAGCTCGTCATCATCTGACCTCTGGTTTTTGGGACTTGAGGCAGCGGCCTGCCATACTGCCTGCCGATCTCGGGATGATATGTCGGCCTCCGCAGCCTGTGAGCCAGTAGCATGCAGTCTCACCTGCCAATCTTGGGTTCGTCAGCCCTTGCAGCTATGTGAGTCAGGAGATGTCTCCAGCCTGATGCCTGATCCACATACTTGGGACTTGCCAGCCTCTACAACTGTGTGAGTTATTTCCATGAGATAACTCTGTTTATATATATATGCTTTACCGGTTTTACGTCTCTAGAGAATCCAGCCTAAGACAGAGGCAACTCCTGTCTTGTGAGAAATTTGTACTTCCTTCTTGCCTTTGTCCTTAGGTGGTACAAACACTTTACAAGCTCAGCTGCCAACTGAAAGGTTGGAGGTGCCTTGGAAGAAAGGCCTGGCAATCTACTTCTGAAAAAAGTCAGCCACTGAAAACCCTATGGAGCGCAGTTCTACTCTGACACACAAGGGGTTGCCATGAATTGGAATCAACTCGACAGCAACTGTTGTTTTTCCCTTCTCGCCTTTGTGCTTTTGCCAAAGCTGCTCCCTCAACCTGAGTCTTACTTCCTTACTTCTACTTAATAGAATTTTACTAATCTTCAAGCTTCTTATCTAACCCCATATACTACCCCAAGATGGCTATGACTTCTTCTTCCTTTGAAATTCTACAATAATTTTTACTTCTTATGGGGCTTACTTTGCTCTGTCTTCTATTACGGTTATTTGTGTACTTCAATTATCCCCACTATTCAACTATAAGCACTTTGAGGGCAAGAACAATGATTTACTCATTTTCCTACCCCAGGTAACACCCAGCACAATGCTTTACATGTAGTAGGTTTTCAGATGGTATTTCTTGAATTGTTTCTGACATTCTTCTGCTTTCAGTGACTGAGTGAACAGAACAGTATACTGCCCCCCAACTATATTCAATTCATATCCCTATCACCACATCTATGATCTAACGTAGTTACAGCTTTACTATTAATGTTAAATTGCATTCACCAGTACAAATTAGTATGGGTGTACTTGTAAATAAAAACTGAAAAAAAAAAAAAATTTGTCTACATTGTCATCTCTGTTGCAAAATAGCTGATAATTTGAAAGGAATCATTAAACTTGCGGCTTCCCAGTTAGTTTTCAGCAGGTCAATACGACATATTAGGTGAATATATCTAAAAGCTGTGTGCTGAAGTAAAACAACAACAAATAAACAAAAATTCTTAACTCAGACTTGAGATTTGGGTTGTGCTTTACTTGCCACTGTATTCTCAGCAGTACTTAGCAGATGTTTGGGTCTAATTCGTTTACTTTACAAAGTGCTCAGGGAGTCTGGCTCAAGCTCAGAGTGTGTTAGAAGTAGGGGTGGGATGGAAATCCAGGTCTACTGATTCCTAGTCCAATATTAACAAACTGAAGATATTCTAATTCAAGAAGAAGGAGCTCTGGTGTCACAGTGGTTAAAGTGTTCAGCTGCTAACTGAAAGGTCAGCAGTTCGAACCCACCAGCTGCTCTGTGGGAGAAACGTGAGGCAGTCTGCTACCATAAAGATTTATAGCTTTGGAAACACTATGGGGCAGTCCTACTCTGTCCTACAGCGTTGCTATGAGTCAGAATCAACTTGACGGCAATGGGTTTTTGGGTTTTGGGCCTAGGTAAAAAGCTACTTGAACAAAGTTTATCTTCAATTCTCAATGTAAACACCAAATCCAGAAGATACAGAGAAGAAAATCCAAATGTTATAGAAAAAATCCTGGATAAAAATATCCTCATTCAAGAATGCAAGATAAGAGCTCAAATGCTCCTACAGCATTTTTTTTTTAAAAAGCAATACTCAGATGTTTTAATGCTGGACCGGTGTTGGGAAGAGAGGTTGGAAAGGGCTACGTTACTTATCTAGTTCATTTTTTTTCCTGAGAGGTAGCCAAGTTCACATTCTAACCACAGCTACTACGATAAGTTCCAGTTCTAGTGCTTAGATTCCAATTCCATCATTGTTTTAACACTGTCAGCTTTCACTGCTTTAACCATCTGTATCTGCAAAATAAACACAAGAAGCAAACCAACAGCCCTATTCCTCAGTTTAAGAGGAATAATTTACTTATAAATATTATAGTTACATATAATATTTCCAGCTATCCTATTCACCTCTCCCTCCTCTCCTAGAACTTTAGAGAATAGTAAAATAACTTTCAGTTAACAAGAGACTAAGCAACCCAGATAGTTTGCAACTAGTACAGCAATTTTATCTTTCTGGAAACTACCTATAAAAGGCAACAGCCATTGCTGGACTCTCTGGGTCCCATGTGAAAAACTCCTGACAGTAAACTAAGGAATAAGGGAACAAGGATGAATTCCATTATTCAATCTAACGAAGAATTAAAAAGAACCTATTAGGTAAGGAGCTGTGGTGGAAAAGTGGTTAAGAGTTACCGCTGTTAACCAAAAAGTCGGCAGTTCGAATCCACCAGCTGCTCCTTGGAAACCTTATGGGGCAGTTCTACTCTGTCCTATACGGTCGCTATGAGTCAGAATCGACTCACAGCAATGGGTTATTATAGGTAAAAGTCTCTGGGTGGCACAAGCGGTTTGCAATCAGCTGCTAACCTAAAAGTTGGTGGTTCGAACCCATCTAGTGGAACTGCTGAACAAAGGTCTGGTGAACTGCTTCCATAAAGATCACAGCCAAGAAAACCCTATGATCCTTTCAACTCTGTAACACATGGGGCTGCCATGAGTTGGAATCAACTCAATGGCAATGGGTTTTATTATCGGTCAGGAGTGCCTGGGCAGTGCAAATGTTAATGTGCGCCACTGCTAACCAAAAGGTTAGAGGTTCAAGTCCACCCAGAGGTGCCTCAGAAGACCTGGAGATCTACTTTAGAAAAATCAGCCACTGAAAACCCTATGGAGTACAGTTCTACTCTGACACACACAGGGTCACCATGAGTTGGAATCGACTCGATGGCAAGGGTTTTTAAAAAAATTTTTTTATGGCATAGTGCTCTGTGACACAGAAGACACCAAGATGAATAAGGTTGTCCCTGTCACATGGGACGCGCCAAGAGGTACAGAGTTCTCTGGGAGAGAACTATAATCACTTCATTTCAATTTCATACCATCAGATTAAAACACTCACGCAAGAGACTCCTACAGTAGGGGCAGCCCTGAGTAAAAGAACTCCAGTGAGATCTGTGGAAATGGATGCTACTCAGGGACATTACCTACTTATCCACAGTATAGCTAGGCCAGGCCCACCCTGAGACTGTTCCAAGAATTTAACCAGGTTAACCAAAGAAATACTTACGTAAGATACAGACAGGGTGGAAACCGGAGGCAGAGGAGATGGAAACAACTGATGTTGACTTAGGACTGTTGCAAGAAGACTCAGCGAAACCCAGGCCAAGGTTGGCGCTGGGGATTTTCAATCTCCTAAATTTCACCCACTCTCAGAATACTCCAGTTCCACTGCACCTCACCTACGACTGAAATACATGGACACTAGAAAGGGGACTTCCCTCGTGGTGTAGAACAGTCTAGTAATAACCTCTCCATAAGGGCATGCAGTGCTTAAGGGCTGGTAAGGTTTCTGTGCATCCATCAGTCATAGTTTATGAAATCCCCAATCAAGGGACTAGGGATCCTGCCCCGGTCTGCCTTTTAATCTCTGTTACCTTGGGCTAGTCACCCAAACGCTTAGTTCCTCCGTTTCCCTATCTGTATCCTGGGATTATGAGGACACTTGGATTGAATTCGATGACCTCTGAGGTCTAAATCTTCTTGAACCAGGTACATGGAAGCACTGGACAAAAAGCCCGTTGAATAAGTAGTGAGGTCGCAGGCAGTGGGGAGGGGGATCATCAGGCTCGTTTTATAGACGGAGAAGCTGAAGCACCAGGCACCCTGCCCCAAAGTCATTTCAGCTATGTCACAGCAGGGGTCAGGCCTGGAGCTCACATCTCCAAGCTTCCAGTCCCGGGCCCTTTCTCCGTTCGCCGAGCTGAGAAGAGTGACGAGGGTCCTTGTCCCGGAGGAGAAAGGGCAGTGTCCGTGCCAGGGTTGCGAAAGGGGTCGGGGGAGTCCTTACCTGCCCAGGTCCAGTCCCGCCACCAGCGCCTTCGCACAGAACCTTAGCCCGCAACCCCTTCACGACTCCTCCGAATCCTCCTCCACTTCTGCCCCGCGCGACGTGTCGGAGATCGCCACCAAGGCTGCCGATTCCCGCCCCGCCCCCGCCCTCTGCCTCGTTGACCAATCCCTGCGCAGGATTTTGGAGCTCCACCTCTTCTGAGGGCTGGGAGAGGCCTTACGCCACACGGCGCGAGTGCCCGCGGGGTCCTCCTATTTGCCTTTGCTGCACCTTCTCCAGAACTTCGGCTCCTCCCGCCGAGCAAGTCTGCGATATTGCCGGAAAACAGTACGCCACGCGGCATTTTACGACGACGGGAGTGAGGGGGCCTTTGAAAACCTCCGACTACCAAGCCGGGGGAAAGCCAGTCCGATGTTCAGTGCAGGTGACGAGGACGACAGCGACTTCTTGTCGCCCAGCGGTGGGTGAGTGACTGCGAGGCGTGGACCAGTGGACCCCACTGAGGAAACCCAGCTGATGGTTGGAGGGGTCGATCTCTTCTCAGGCCTTTTCCCAACTTCTGGAGCTAGACCCTTGCTGTATTCTGGTCCTCTGCACATCCTCAGAATTCGGGGAGAGCTAGGAACTGTACCGAGCCTGCCTACGTAGGGTCTGGACCCGACATCTCCCTTGACTCACAGTAGAACTCTAGGGTTCACTTTTTTATTTCTGGGTCACAGTTTCTCCTTCTGTGAAATAGGGATGGTGGTTAATGACAGTGTTTGCCTCATTGCTTTTATAGGAGTCAGCTAGGCCGCATATGACTTTCTCTTCTCCGTGGATAAGGCAGTGACACTTTAGAACTAGGCTCTGGTGGGTCAGTTCCAGCATCCTTCTAGGGCCGTCTCAGATGTCACCTTTTTTGATGTTTTCCCTATTTCCACAGCCCCAGGCAGAATAAAATGCTTTCTCTTCATTACTCCCACAGCTAGTTGTGTTTGCGTCTATCCTGTCACACGAAACCATAATTGTTTCCTTGCCGGACCCCTCACTAGATTATGAGCCCTGACAGGACCAAACCCATTGACGTCGAGTAGATTTCCAACTCATAGAGACCCTGTAGGACAGAGTAGAACTGCCGCATAGGGTTTCCTAGGCTGTAAATCTTTACGGAAGCAGACTGCCACATCTTTCTCCCGCAGAGTGACTGGCGGGTTCGGACCACCGACCTTTTCGGTTAGCAGCTGAGCACTTAACCACTGCACCACCAAGGCTCCTATCCTGACAGGACAGAGACTGTTTATGTTGCTTATCTCTGTCTAGGGCCCAACACAGTACCTGACACATCGTGCTCAGAAAGTGCCTGTTGAATGAAGAATAGCTGAGAAATTGCGTTTTGTAAACTGTAAAGCTCGAAACCAGTTTAAGAGATAGCTGTGGTTGCTATCTCCTGCCCCTAAACGTTGACCTTATACATACTAGTCTGGGGTAGGCGTCTCCAAGGAGAGGCAGGTCTTTATCTCTTCCAGTAATCATTTTAGCCTCCTCCCTGGGTCAGTGAACAACTTGACTCCCTCCAAACTTGTGAGCTGCCAAGCTCTGGTCCTTGGAGAGCCTTTCTTTGAAAATCTGTTTAACATATTATGTGCATGCTAAAGAATGAATGAATACACCAATATATGCCCCTCATTATACAGAATGTTGAGGTTACAAAGATGATGAAGATGTTTTGCCTGCCCTCAAGTTGCTTCCGGTCCTGTTAGAAAGTCTATTGTATGAATGACCATAAAATGATGCTGTTTCTCTTTTGGTCTTAAATAGAATCTTTTGACTTATACTGTGACTAGCCCTGTATTATCTATCCTTAAGTCCTGTTTTCACTCTTAGCATTCTGCTCCACACTTCCTGCCCCCCCCCCACTTTAGTTGACCTACACCCACTTAGTTTTACCTTATCCTACGTTGAGTTCTTTTAGTTGCTCAGTTATTTCTGAGTCAAGCTATGCTTTGGTTCCTTTCTTCCCTATCCTACCCATAACATTGACTAAAGTTTCCACACATTTCAGCCTTCCTGCTGCTTTTGACTGTGTAGTCAACCTCTTCAATTAGTGTTTTTCCATACAAATCGGTTGTATATACAGTTGTGTATTGGGTATTTTGAAAGTTTCCAGGGTATACTTAAAATCCACATTTTTAACTAGGTGAAAATGTTTAGGAAAGGCTGGAAAGGAATGTTAGGGCAAACAGTCCACTGCTGACTCAAGTTATAGGGTAGATAATGACAGTCACATGCTCTTTTCCAGGTTCCTGGCCTGAGATAAGTTCTTAGTGGCTCAACTATGCTGCTTTCCTGAGTAGGCTCATCAAGGACCTGAAACATTTTACTTCTAAGCAAGTGACTGTACTATTAGATACAGAAAACAGCTAATTTGATGATAAAAGGCTTAGCAAAGAAAGTTAAACAGAGAACTTATTTTGTTTTCCTAACAGTTACGAGGAAAACCAAATCATATTTAAGATTGAGAATATACAAAGGTTAACAGTTCCTTCTTTGGTTTTCTCTAAGGAAGTAAAACATAAGACAGTGAACACTGCAGTTACCTTTCGGTTCCTCTTTTGTCATTGAAATTCTTTTCCTTCCTTTAAATGTTATACTTTTACAAGCCAATGAAGCATATATATTTTTTCTATATATATTCATGTACATTGCATAACTGTAATTTACTGTAAATATATTTGCTTATTTAAAAAATTATTTATTTTGTTGTTGATAATATACACAGCAAAACACACACCAATTCAACAGTTTCTATGTGTACAATTCAGTGACATTGATTACATTCTTTGAGTTGTGCAACCATTCTCACACTCCTTTTCTGAGTTATTCCTCCACCATTAACATAATCTCACTGCCCTGTAAGTATACTTGCTTATTATTAAGTTTCAAGTATCTTGACTTAAATACATAACTTTCTTGATTCTGTTTAGGATATTTAAGCGTAATAGAAGTGGGAAACTACAACGAGATACCATCTCCCCCCAACAAGGCTAGCATTAATTCAAAAAGACAAATTAATAAATGTTGGAGAGGTTGTAGAGAGATTGGAACACTTATATATATTGTTGGTGGGAATGCAAAATTGTACAACCACTTTGGAGACTGATTTGGTGCTTCCTTAAAAAGCTAGACATAGAAGTACCATATGATCCAGCAATCCCACTCCTTGGAATATATCCTAGAGAAATAAGAGCCATCATATGAATAGATACATGCACACCGATGTTCATTGCAGCACTGTTCACAATAGCAAAAAGATGGAAACAACCTAGGTGCCCATCAACGGACAAATGGGTAAACAAATTATGGTATTTTCACACACTGGTATACTACCTAATGATAAAGAACAACAACGAATCTGTGAAACATAACACGGAGGAACGTGGAAGGCATTATGCAGAGTGAATTTAGTCAGTCGCAAAAGGACAAATATTGTATAAGACCACTATTATAAGAACTCAAGAGAAGGTTTAAACACAGAAGAAAACATTCTATGATGGTTACGAGGGTGGGGAGGGGGGGAGGGGGTATTCACTAACTAGATAGTAGACAAGAATTATCTTAGGTGACGGGAAGGACAGCACACACTGCAGAGGAAGTCAGCACAACTGGACTAAACCAAAAGCTAAGAAGTTTCCTGAAAACAACCAAACACTTCAAGGGACAGAGGGACAGGGTTCTGGGGACCATGCTTTCAGCGGACATCTAGGGAACTTGATAGGTATATAGTTCCCTACACTGATATAAAGCTTTCTCTAAATGATAAGAGTGGCTCATCATACCTAAACTGTTTGTTCAAGTGTATGATTTACACTGAACACCTGCTTTGTTTCTGGGAGTATGGAGTTTTGGTATATGCTAGGCAAAGGGTGGCCTACATGACCAACCCCAATAAAAACCTTGGGCACTGAGTCTCTAATGAGCTTCCCTGGAAGACCACACTTCAAATGTGTTGTTACAACTCATTGCTTGAGTGATTAAGTGTCCTGTGGGGCTTCACTGGGAGATGACTTTTGGAAGCTTGCGCTTGGTTTCCTCTGCGCTTTACCCCATGGACGTTTTTCCTTTGCTGGTTTTGCCTTGTATCCTTTGTAATGAGTTTTAGCCATGAGTACAGCTATATGCTGAGTCCTGTGAATCCTTCTAGTGAATCACTGAACCTGGGGGTGATCTTGGGGACTCTGACAGAGCTTTCACCAAGAGAGGGAACACAGAGGAAGAACAAGTTTTGCTGGGGCAGTGGGGATTGGAAGCTATGATTTCTGATTTGTATATGTTGCATTTGTGTTGCCTGTGAGATATACGTGTGCTCTGGCACTCAGGAGCAAGTTCTAGGCTGTGTATACAGATTTGAGCATCATCAGTATTTGCATAGCACTCGATGCCAAGGTAAAAAAAAATGAGATTGCTTAGGGAAAGTATGAAACCTTGAGGACATAAGCGTTTAAAGATTGGGCGAGGAAAGAACCCAAGGAGTTAAATGAGAAGTCAGAGGGATGGAAAGGAAACAAGAGAGGGATCACATTAGAATGTGTTGATGTCTTATTTGGGCTACCCCTCCCCCCACCCCCACAGGTATCTCCACAGAAGCTGAGGGAAGAGTGTGTTTAAAAAGAACAAATTAGTTGACAGTGTGACAAAGATAGCATGAAGGTCAAATAATATAAGGACTGATAAACTGGGTTTAGTAACAAAGAGGTTGTTGGTGACCTTAGCAAGAGCAGTTTCAATGGATTGGGGGTGGGGCATGAGTATTCATTGTAAAACATAATAAAAGAATGATCCTCCCTGTTAGATGAAATGATAGAAGGGATCATGTTTGATGGATTAAGGTGTAGTACAGTTTCATCTCAGTGTAATAAACTAGTAAAAAGTAGGAGGGAGAGTAATGAGTAGGAGTGACTAGAAGCTATCATTTCCTAAAGGCAAGAATTTAGACTTTGAAGAGACCATAGAGAGCATCTAGACCTATCACCTCAATTTACAGGTGGAGAAATTGAGGCCCAGAAAGAACTGCCTTGGCTGAAGTCTTGTGGATGGACAGGGTTAGCTGATGATGTTCAGGTCAGATATGCAGTCTTGATTTCAAAGGGACTTAGTTTCTACTTCCAGCATTAAATGGTGGGATATACATTCAAGGAGGTATTTTTTCAAGGTTAGAGGTGAGCAGCTTTTATATTGATTCCAGGTGTGGGATATGTCAAATGAAATTTCATGAACTCTCCTTTTTCTCCTAACAGTGCCAGATTGGCCTCTCTTTTTGGATTAGATCAGACAGCTGCTGGCCATGGAAATGAATTCTTCCAGTACACAGCCCCAAGGCAGCCTAAGAAAGGCCAAGCAACCACAACAACAGGTAAGTTAATAGGCATTAGGATTGTGCCCTAACAGGTTAGTTGGAAGGGTAAGCAGCCTTCTGAAAGTGAGAGGACAGGTGGTTCACCTCGACCAGTCTGGCTAAGCTCATCATCAGTGGTAGATGCATCTCTAAGCTCTGCAATCCTCAGTGTCCAGCAGCAAGATGATGTGTTGTTTGTTGGGAACTGATAGAGGAAAGTCACAGACAAACTCTTCTGCCACATGGGGACACCACTTTCTAAAACCCTGCCCCAAGGCATGGTATTATCCAATGTTTTTGTGAAAAGGAAGAACTACTTTTTACTTTCTTTACCAAGATATGTTAGGTATATGCTGTTAGTGAATTTTTCCCAACTAGACAGTGATAGTCATTATTGTATCTCCTGTAGCTTTCATCATGTCTGACACAGAAAACATTTATTGAATGAACATTTGTTGAACGAAAGGAGGGAATGGGGGACTAACATTTCTAAATGCCTGTTATGTGTCTGGTCTCATGTTAGGTGTTTTATATAGGTTGTCTTATTTAATTATCACAACAATTCTGTGGAGTAGGTGAGATTGCCACCATTTTAGAGACTCAGATAGGTTTAGGAACTTCATCAAGGTCATGTAACTAGTAAGTGACAGAGTTGAAATTTGAACCCTGATCTGACTGACTCCAAAGCTTGTATTCCTTCCTCTACACTTTGCTGTCTTTGTGAAACAACTTGATAGTGGAAGAGGGGAGACTAGCAGTAATAGCCCTGAGCAGAGCATGCGGCAGGGACATTAAATTAAGTATTTGTTGACTGAATGTAAAATCACTGAATGCCTTTTACATGCTAGGCCCAATGCTGACACTGGGATATTGTCAGGATATTTAGAGTTGAGTAGTTGTGACAGATACCATATGGCTCATAAAGCCTAAAATATTTATTGTCTGAGTCTTGGCAAAAAATGTTTGCTGACCCCTCCTCTCAATGATCTTATCTTCCACTTTTGACAGCTTTGCTTAGGTTGCTGGTCCTACTCTTCAAGCTATAACCTGGCCGCGTTTTTAGTAGGTTATGTATACCTTTACATTTTTTCTGGTGAATCTCTTCATCAGCATCAGCAGTATGCTTCGGAATCTATTTAGAGTGGTTCAGTTAATGGGTGTGGAGAAAAACAGCCTCAGTCCCCACCCAATGCAATAACTTGATTTTCTTGTCAGAAAACAAGGCCAACTGTAAATTAACTATACTTTAAAGGAGGAACTATAGAGACATTTCAATTTAAAAATTATCTATACAGTCTTATGTAGACATTTACAAATAAAACTCAAGTAAGGTAGCAATATAGGAGACCATCTCTGTTCAAGGGAAATTTATATAAGAAGGCCTTATGAGGAAGATGATGGTGGCATAGTTCTTGAATCTCTTCAAATCTCAGTGTGAAGACAGAGCAACTAGATATAAAAACCCAAAACTTACAGATAATATTTACAACAAAACCTTTTAGGAAAGTGTTCTTACGGATCCAAAAATACAAGCATGTATGGGCAAACCGCTAACACAAGGCTTGCATGATATCAGCATCTATATGGGAGAACAGAAGGATGCAGTGGGTGTTTGAATCTGAGAATGGGAGCACTTCAAAATGGCCAGCAGGTTTTCATGGAAAGTGTGGCAGGCCAAGCTGAAACTGGAAGAGGTTTTGTCCACTTTAGTTGTAGGTAAGTGCAAGGGGTTGATGATGATATCTAAAGGAGTTGGAGCAGTTTTTACTTCTGTGAACTTTTGAAACTTACCCATCAGGGTGACCTTCCAGGATAGGGCTCATACTGAGAAGAACCTGCTGGGAATGGAATTAAAATTGAGGAGGATAGGGACATTAGAGGCAAAGGAAATACAAGGTCCAGATAAAAGTGGACCTCCCTTAGGGGAGGAAGCCAAGATATTTTTTTAACTCTATACAAAAACAACAGAGGAGGGAGCTCCACGAAGTTAGAAAAGCCACCCTGAACCACTCCTCCTTCTCAGAGATAAGTAACAAATAAGTGACAGTTCTCAGATAAGAATTAGAAAAGAAAGGAAAAATTATTTCAGGTTGAAGACTAAACTAGAAGAAACACAAGAATAAATAAACACAATAGATTTTGCCTTAGTAACCTTAATAAAAGGTTAAAAGGAGCAATTTTTTAAAATAAAAGAAGATAAAGAGATAAAAAGGATTCAAGAGAAAGTGTCAAACATTGAAGATAGCAAAGAAAATTCAACATATAGATAAAAGGAGTCTCTGAAGAAGAAAATTAAGCAGGGGAAAAAGAACAAACAATAAAAACTATAATTCAAGAAAACCTCACTGGAAAAATTTTGAAATTACGTATTGAGAAAGGTCCTCATGAATGGGAAGTTAAGGAATCTAAACAGTACTGATTTTAGACAGGGAAGAATGCCAAGTCAGTGAGAAGCTCACATGATTGTGGACATCTGACACAATTACCGTCTGGCAAGTATATGAGCTATCTCCCATGTCAGTGGATTAGACTGGGAGATACTGGGCTGAGTGCACTGGGAGAAGCTGAATTAACCTGAAGGAGGATGCTAGGCTGACCTTGGGGAGTCAGTGATTTTTTTCAGTGTTCAGACTTGTCCTGATCACTCTGGCCTTAGTTGTTTTATTTTTTTCTATCGCAGACTAATTATCCAGAGAAAAAGTTTATTGTAGTATTACATAAAACAACTGGAAGTACTGATTAAATAAAAGCTGTCTTGTAGGTTTTTATAAAACAATAAGGAAAACATGTATACCTTACCAGGAAAATAAGCAAATGATATGAATAGGCAGTTGATTTAAAAAAAAAAAAGAGACTAATACAAATCTATTAAAAATGTTAAATTTCTGCCTTTCTGTAATCAAATAAACACAAATGAAAGCAACAGTGAGATGATATTCCCCTGTCTTTAGTGCCCCATCAAGTTGGTAAAGATAAAAAGATAATTCCTACTCTTGGCCTGGACGCAAAACTGACATACTGGTAGGTATGAGTGTAAACTGGTATGGCATTTCTGAAGGGCATTTGGGCAGGGTGTAATAAAAACCTTAATTTTTTTTTTATAACAGAAAAATTGGAGACAGCCCAAATAAATGTCAAACATTAGGAAAGTGGATAAATTCTGGTACTGTCATAAGACAGTATTCTGTATAGCCACTCAAAAGCTTTTTAAAGACAATTTTGTCTTTGTTTTAGAGACTGTTTTGAGGCATATAGGGAAATGCTTATAATACGCTAAGTGAGAAAAGGAAGTTGTCAAATCATATCATTTAATTTTGTTTTTAAAAAGATAAGAAAAGAGAAGCTGCCAAGTTTATGTGTATAGAAAAAAGACTGGGAACAAATACATAAAATTGTCAACATTGTTTATTTTTAGGTAGTGCGGTTATAGGTCATTTTTATTTTCTTCTTTATGCTTTTCTATATTTTCTAGCTTTTCTACAATGTACATGTATTCTGTAATCAAGAAGAATATGCTGTCAGTACCAAAAATAAAATCAAACAAGAATGCATTTGAAAATAAGTTCTTGGTTGCTGTATCCATGCCAATGTTATCTTATAGTGAATGAGATAACGCAATTTACTGTAAATGTGTTCTTTTAAAGTATTACTCTACAACACATTGTAAAAGTTAAACAGTGGGTGCGATTTGAATATCAGATCATAAATTTCTTATCCCAGAAGTAAGGGAAGTAGAAATAACTTTATTTTCATATATTATAGCTGTGAAAATATTGGAAGGAGAAAAGAAAGTAGATGGACTATGACCTTACTTTCTAGACAATGATTATTGTCCATGCCAAAGATTCTTTTCTTTGAAGTATATAGTTTGGGAGTTGGAGTCATAGGTTCTAGTCCTAGGCTTGCTGCTATCATTATGTAAGACACTTCGATGCTTAGAGCTTCAGTTATCTCATCCTCAGACTGGGTCATAGGGCTATTTTGTGGATCAGATGAGGGTAATGGTCATGAAAGCATGCTACTACTGATTCTAAGATGTAAAGAAGGAATTTTGAAGCTGGTTTAATGGCTAAAAATCAGTTTCAAGCAGTAAATGAATGACAACTTTGTTTTCTTCACCTTTAGGAAATCAGGCAACACAGAAAATAGCACCAACTACAGCAGGCACTTCCACAGTACTGTTTGCAACAGCAGTTCATGCATATAGATAGTAAGTAGCTGAGAAGGAATGTTTTCTGAAGATGGGGTTGGGGGTTTAAGCTAGTATCTTTCCTCAGTAAGCCTCTTTTCATTGCAAAATGGTTACTCATCTCTTTCATAAACAAAGTATCAGTAATGCTTTTTAACATTTGCAGATTCCTACACTTAAAACTTGAAGAGCTATTACCTTGTCTACCTTCTCTAAAAGTGCTTGTACTCTCAATAACTGCCTTTATAAGTGGCTCATATAATTACTTATAAGTGCTCAGTCTTTCCATTGAGATAATATGAATAGTAGATACTTAAAGAGTAAATAAATTGTGTTAAGAGCTTTAAATTATAAACTGCTCACCTCTGTCCCTTTCTAGAGACTGAATGACTAGATTCCCTACTTCTATAAGGCAGAAAAGAAAGCTCGTTCTCCAAAGTTTAAGGAAGTATCAATACCTGTTGCTTTTCTTGCTTATACAGCATAAATGGTCAATATGTGAAGCAGGGCAAACTTGGTGCTGCAGTCCTGGGGAATCACACAGCCAGAGAGGTGAGAGTTCCCCCACATCTCATGTATATTCAAGTATCCCAGATCATACTGATGAGTTGGCTTTTATCATCTGGGTTTGCCCAGTGTCCTTGTGTATCAGAGGACTAGAATGTTTGTATTAAATGTGAATTTGTAAGATTAGGCTATATAGTAAATGGCCACTTTTTGCTTACTATTATTGTACATTAAAATAAATCCAGCCACTCAAAATCTTTAAATTTGACTTTTATGATGTGTATCTAGCTTAAGAATTAGAAGAGTTTTAGAGTAAGCCATTTACTAAGGACATTCCTTAATGAATAGCACTTATTGTATTACTTCGAGAATTATGTCTTTATGCCTGCGTTAATGATCAGTGTTTATTCTTTGATTAAAGTTTGATAGTGAGACGGGCAGTTGATCATACAGTATAATGTTGGTTTGGATCAAAAAGAAGATATGGCTAAAAGCCCTGAGACTGATTTCTTTCTGTGGCTTGTATCTAGTTTTCAGTTTTGTTCCAGAAGGCTTTGAACATTGTTGAAAGAAGTATAAGAAATAATAGAATTTCAGAGCTTGAAAAGGTTCAGCGAGCATGGGCCCATGTTCCTCAGAGGCTCCGAGGCACAGAGATATAAGATGACCTGTCTAGGGTAACTAATATAATAGACAACGTCATTTATATTTCAAACAAACAAAAAAAGCAAACAACAACAGACAGTTATCGAAAATGTCAAATACATATTAAAAAAGTGGGACTAGAATAATGAACCCCCAGATACCCATAAATATGCTCTAACAGTTATTAATCTTGTTTTCTTTATCATCCCACTCTCTCTTCCCTCCTCCCTGACTCAGATTATTTTGAACAGATCCCCAGAATATAATTTTAGCTGTAAATATTTTAGTATATATTTCTAAAAGGTAAGGACTTAAAAAAAAATATAACCATTATCACACCTAAAAAGAAGGCTAATTCCTTAATTTCATTAACCATCTAGTTAATGTTCACATTTCCTTGGTTTTCTTATAATTTTTTTTTTAACAGTTTGAACCAGGATCATAATAATGTTCATATGTTGCAATTGGTTTCTATATCCTTTAAGTCTCTTTCATACTCCTATCAGGAGGCAAATAATGTCTCTTTTGTCTCTTATTTTGTTATATTAGCAGCTACCAGTGATCATTATTCAGATCCATTAATTCGTTAAGTGTTGCCATTTGGATTTTTAAAATCTGGTATTGGAACTTCACTGCCAGCTAGGGTATAGTAGATCATGGCAGACAACATATGTGCCACAGCAATTATAAAAAAAAAAATAAATTGCAAAAACTGTGTTTTAAAATTCATCGGAGAGTTGTGGAAATGATGAACTAAAATTTCAGAGAGGGAAGAGCCAGTGAGCTGTTTCCTGTCCTGGGGGCATTTGCCAATTTTGGGCGTAGACGAAAGATCAGGTACGGCCCAAGCAGAGAGACTACTGGGGGAAAGATAAATCTGGAAAACTAGAGGAGCTCCAAACAGAAGACTGGTTTTTCTCTTTGGGACATTTGCTGAGTTCTGAGAAGGTGGAAGGCCAGAACTGTGCCAGAAAGGTCAAGGGAAACTTCTTCAGTCTTGTGTTGTGTAGGAGATAAGGTCTTACTATAGAGAGGAGGCCTTCAGTAAGCGTACAACCAATGTTCCTCTTAATACATTTGCCAGATTTTGAACCTTCATGGGGGGAGGCTAAAGAACTCAGCTAAAAAATCTATGAAGGGCAGAACTTTTAGGACTGAGAAGTCAGAGACTTTCCAGGCTCTCAGTTAAAAGCCTGGGAAATCATGTTTGAAAACAGGCACAACCCAAAGGTGGACTGACTCTTAATAAATCTATGATCCTTCCCTGACTAGCTCAATCTGTGATTGGATTAAGATGATCAGCTCCTCACTCTATTTGCCTTACACAGGAAAAGTGAAATCCCTTCTGGTGGGAGACTGAATGTGAGCTCCTACAGTTATTTTTATATACAATAGCTGGCCTACAATAAAAAATTATTGATGCGTAAAGAGATGGGGAAATGTTACTGATGAACGAGGGCAAAAACCAAAACAAACAAAAAACCCAATAGGAGCAGACACACAAATAATCTAGATATTGAAATTAATGTTACACAGTATTTAAAATAACTATGAATAGTGTCTTAAAGAAAATAGAGGAAAGGCAAAAGGGATAAGAGATGGAGAATTTCAAAAACTATAATCCATAAAAATACTCAAATGGCATTCTAGATTTGAAAAAGACAATATTTGGAATTAAGAACACACTGAATGTGTTTAGCAGTAGTCTGGGCACTGCATAAGACAGGATTAGTGACTGAGAAGGCAGTTCAATAGAAAGTATCCAAGCTGAAGCACAGAGAGAAGAAAGAATAGAAAAAGAACAAAGCATAAGATTCATATGGGACACAGTCAAAAAAGGTCTAATATACATGTAACTGTAATCCAAAGATAGTAGAATGATATCTTTAAAGTGCTGAAAGAAAAAAATGCCAATATAGAATTCTATACCCAACAAAAATCCTTGACAAATGAAAACAAAATAAATTTTCAGACAAATAAGAACTGAGAAAATTCATTGCCAGCAGATCCACTGTACAAGAAATAGTAAAGTTCTTTAGGTTGGAGGAAATAAGTGCCTATGTCCTTCCAAAGACGTGTAGAATATCCGTAGAAGCACTATTTATAGTAGCTTCTAACTGAAAACAGCTCAAATGTTCATAAGCAAGATAATGGAATAATAGATTATGGTATATTCATAGAATACTACATAGAAATAAAAAAAAACATTACTGGTACATGAAACAACAAGGATGACTCTCACAGACATGTTGAGTAAAAGAAGCAAGAACCAAGAGTATATATTATATGATCCCAGTATATATAGGTTAAAAATAGCAAAACTAATCAGTGATAGAAGTTAGAATAGTGTTTACCTCAGGGTGAGGATTATTGACTAGGAAGGTGCACAGGGGAGCTTTCTGGGGTGTTGGAAATGTTCACTTTTTTTATCTGGGTAGTGGTCATGTGGATATATATGTATACATATATAATATGTGTGTAAGAGAGAGAAAATTGAGTTTAAAACTCGTGCACTTTATGTTTTTCCTCAATTAAAATTTTTTTTGGTATTTTTATTTTTTGAGAAATCAATATTACTGTCTTTTAGTCACCTTTCATAAATGAGAAAATGCCAACAAAATAAAGACATCCCCAATTACAGTTAAGAAGTAAAGCCAAAATGAGAAGTAATATTAAAATGGATAGTGAGAAGCTATAATCTAAAATCTAAGCTTTAAGGGATGAACTGAGTTTCAAATTTTATAGCTGTATGAAACATAATTTCTGACATTATAGTGCTAATTTTGTATTACCTTTTTAACTTCTGTCCTCTTTTTTTTTTTTTTTTTTCCTGCCCATCTTTGGTTGAGTACAGTATAGGATTCTTCTTTATATGAGTCAGCAACAACCAGTTACTGTTGCAAGGATTCACCTGAACTTTGAGCTAATGGTAAGACTTCCCCATACTGGAATCATTAGCTCCTTAGGAATCACTTTACAGGGGAGATTAATCTGAGTGTACTTGGTAAGAATGAGGTCCACTGCTTCAGCCCTGGGCATTAGGGTGGATACCTAACAAAGACTTTGAGAAAGGTCTCTTGGCTACCTTCTGGGAGTAGAGTCTGAGGGGTGGTTGGTGAAAGGTGGGAGGGAAGAAGAGAGTTCCCTGATTATCTCTCTTTGGGTCTACTTCAGTCTAGAGCCTTCTCCATCAGGTTAAGCAGTCGAATTTATCCACTTCACTTCTTGTGGTTCAGTTATCCCAACATTCTCCTTTTTCCAGGTTCGGCCCAATAACTACAGCACCTTTTATGATGACCAGAGACAAAACTGGTCCATCATGTTTGAGTCAGAAAAGGCTGCTGTGGAGTTCAGTAAACAGGTAATATCTTATTTTTCCTGTGAAAGCCAGAACACTTATCTGGAGTTCCCTTAATTTTAGGAAAATATGTGGAAAACATATAATCTGCTATATATATATATACACACACGTATATATTTTATTTTTGGTGAAAATATACACATCAGATCATACACCCCTTCAACAGTTTTTACATGTATAGTTTAGTGACATTGGTTACATTCTTCATGTTGTGAAACCGTCTCAGGCTGGGTTCTCTAGAGGAGCAAAACCAGTAAAGCCTATATATACACCATATTTTTACACAAATAATGCGCACCTTCTACGTTTGTTTGCAAACCATACCCTCCTCCAGCAAAGTATTTTCGTAAGCATGCTATGTTAATTTTGTTTTTAAAGCAACATTTAAAAAAATTGGCATAGTGGTGCTTATGAAAATACCTTGTTGGGGTAAGGAGTAGTTGGCAAACAGATATAGAAGGTGCACGTTATTTGCGTAAAAATATGGTATATGTTAGTATATGTAGATAGAGATTTGCATCAAGGACATGGCCACACACTTTTGGAGACTGGCAAGTCCCAAATTTGTGGGTCAGGCATCAGGCTGGAGGCTTCTCCTGACTCACGTGGTTGCAGGGGCTGACGAACCCAAAATTGGCAGGTCAGATGACAGGCTGCTAGCTCAGTTCTCAGGAACTGGAGGTCAGAGGATGATGAGTCGGATGCAGGATCAAAGACAGCGAGCTTTACCAGAACATCCATATATGTATCGAATGTAGGCCATATCCCCAAGGAAACTCCCCTTTCAGATGATTGGCTGCTCACATCAGATCGCAAAATGGAGGATGACTACATAATATCTGCCGTTACCACCCAAACCCATTGTCGTCAAGTCGATTCTGACTCATAGTAGTGCTATAGGACGGTAGAACTGCCACATAGGGTTTCCAAGGCTGTAAATCTTTTTTTTTTTAATTGTACTTTAAATGAAGGTTTACAAAGCAAACCAGTTTCTCATTAAACAATTAATACACACATTGTTTTGTGACATTGGTTGCCAACCCCACAACGTGTCAACACTCTCCCCTTCTTGACCTTGGGTTCTCCATTACCAGCTTTCCTGTCCCCTCCTGCCTTCTCGTCCTTGCCCCTGGGCTGGTGTGCCCATTTAGTCTTGTTTTGTTTTATGGACCTGTCTTATCTTTGGCTGAAGGTTGAATCTCAGGAAAGACTTCATTACTGAACTAACTGTAAGGGTCTCCGGGGGCCAGACTCTCAGGGTTTGCCCAGTCTCTGTCAGACCAGTAAGTCTGGCCTTCCAAAGCTATAAATTTTTGTGGAAGCAGACTGCCACATCTTTCTCCCACGGAGTGGCTGGTGGTTTCAAACCAGCAGTCTTTTGGTTAGCAGCCAAGTGCTTAACCACTGTGCTACTAGGTCTCCTTAATCTCTGCCAAACCACTAAGTGTTGTGGCCTAGCCAAGTTGGCACGTAATGTTAACCATCACAGTCACCATTCTCGCTCTGTCTCCCCATATTGTTTAACCACCACTGACTTAGACTCACTGCCCCATTAACTACCCATTTATACTTTAGAGTTACTGTGGTCAATTTGATCTGTTACAGATAATTCTTTAAAAGAGCACAATGTTCAAGACAAACATTCTTTTCAAGTTCAGCTAAACTGTTGTTTTGTTTGAAAATGACTTCAGAGGATAGTTTCAGTTCAAAGTCCAAAAATTTTCTCACGGCAACAGATTCAGGGGTTCCTCTAGCCTCGTGGGTTCTGTTATGGTTTGAGTTGTGTTCCCTAAAAATGTGTGTCAACTTGGTTAGGCCATGCTTCCCAGCACTGTGTGATTGTCTACCATTTTGTCATCTTATGTGATTTTCCTGTGTGTTGTAAATCCTACCTATATGATAATAAGGCCAAATTACAGGCAGTTATGTTAATGAGGCAGGACTCAATCTATAAGATTAGGCTGTGTCTTAAGTCAATCTCTTTTGAAATATAAAAGAGAGAAGTGATCAGAGAGACATGGGGACCTCATACCACCAAGAAACAAGAGCCGGGAGAATACTGCATCCTTTGGACCCGGGGTCCTTGTGCTGAGAAGCTCCTTGACCGGGGAAGATTGATGACAAGGAACTTCCCCTAGAGCTGACAAAAAGCGGAAGCCTTCCGCTAGAGCTGGCACCCTGAATTCGGACTTCTAGCTTACTAGACTATGAGAGAATGAACTTCTGTTTGTTAAAGCCATTGACTTGTGCTATTTCTGTTATAGCAGCCCTAGATGTATAAGACAGTCCAGTAAGCCTGGATTCTATAAGAAATTTGAAATTCTGTTTTACATTTTTCCCTTTTGACCGGGACTCATCTATTGAGTCCTTGATCAAATGTTCAGTTATGGTGGCTGGGCACCATCCACTACTTCTGGTCTCATGACAGAGGAGGCAGTAGTTCATGGAGGCAACTAGACATGCAGTCCAGTTCCTTCTCCAATTCCTGGGTCTCCTTCTCTGCTGCTCTAGGCTAACAGAAACTAGTCATTGTATCTTGGATGGCTTGCAAGCCTTTAAGACTCCAGGCACTACTCACTGAACTGGGGGGTAGAACAGAAACTCTTAAAAAGGTGTTAGGCTAATTGGCTGGACAGTCCCATGAAGCCATGACCCTAAGCCTTGGAACCAAGAGAACTAATCCAATGAGGTGTTTGTTTATACCTAAGTAGTTTCAGCAACTACATGCTCTTTTTTTTTTTTTTTGGTTGCTGCTGCTGTTGTAAAATTATATGTACGACATTTGCCATTTTGTCCTTTTTCTGGTGTACAACTTAATGATATCAGTTACATTATCAGGTTATGTAACTATTACCCTTAATCGATGCCAGTTTTCTCGTAGACAAACTCACTACTTCCTAGAGATAATCTGCTGTGTTTTGTTAGTGGGAAACATAAAAAACTCACTGAATTTGTCACTTGAGCTTATTGTATTTTAGGGAAATAATAGGCATACTTATTGAAAATGAGACTTTTGAAAGAAGAAAGGCTAAATGTAGACTTATTTGATTAAAACATTTTTCCACCATATAAACTATTTTAAGGTATAAGTAAAACTATCTTCTAAAAGTATTGTTTTAAAAGAATCTTATTATCAGTCTTGCACTGAGAAATGACACTGTAGTAAGCATCTTTGTATATAAATGTGTATCCTTTTTTTCATCTGATTATTTCCTTATGCCAGATTTCTAGAAGTGAATGATGTGTCAGTGGATCCAGTTATTTTTAGGTTCCGAATACCTTTTGGCATACTGCTTTTCAAAAAGATTGTAGTAGATCACACTCTTATCAGTAGTCTCACTATGCCTTTCCCAGCATTGAAAATTATCTTTTTTTTTTCCTTTTAGTCCTATTGCTTGATACAAAGGGCTGTCTTGTTGTTTTAGTTAGCATTTATTTGATTGCAGTAATGAAATTTTTTTTTTCAGAAAAATGAGTGGTAAGTTTCTAACGTATACTATAGTTAAACATTGTCTAAAGAGTAAGGATTCACAAAAATGTGTCTGACTCCTTTGTCTATGATATATGCTAAAATAATATGGCTATATCAGTAGGTGGTGGTGGTGTGAGTTCTGGGAATGCAGTATGGCTTTGTAAAAGGCCTTTCTGTGGATTTTGAAAATTTTTTCGAAGCTCCCCTTTCTTTCCTAGGTTTCCAAATACTGAAGTTGTAAATCATGATAGTAGTGGTAACTAACATTTATTGGGTGGTACTATTATTTGCCAGATACTATGCCAAGTACTGTACTTGTATTAGCTTCTTTAATCTTCAGAACCACCCTATGAGATACGCATGCTTTTTATCTCTATTTACAAATGGATAATCTTGGGTACATAGAAGTTAAATATCTAACCAAGGTACAGAGTTAGTAAGTGGCAGTATCAGATGTGTACCTAGATGGTCTGACTCTAAAGCCGTACTCTTAGACACTGATTCCTGGCAAGATTGCTAACTTTGGAATGGCTTACTTCATGAAATGTAATCTGTTTTGTTAGTGGATGCAACTGTTTAGGAAAGAGCATTAACAATAATGTGGTGAGTACTTATTGAGCCTGAAGTTAGGTTTATGCTGCCTTGGTTTTGTCTTGCAGGTGTGCATTGCCAAGTGCAACAGCACCTCTTCTCTGGATGCAGTGCTCTCACAGGACCTCATTGTGGTAGAGGGCCCTTCTGTAGAAGTTGGTGATTCTTTGGAAGTGTCATATACTGGCTGGCTCTTCCAGAATCATGTGCTGGGCCAGGTAAGAAATATACCCTGTAAGTTCCTTTGTAACTTAAGCAGAACAAAGGCTGTTCAAATGTAAGGTATTATTACTGTGAATTGCTGCTTTTGTCAAATTGCAGTCTTTTAGGAGCTCTTCTTTAGTCATTGTAACTGTTTTTGGAACATGTTCGTTAGATGCTAATATATAAAATCTGCTCAGAGCCACTGTGTCTCTTCTACTTAGCAACAGTGGAAGCCAATTTCCCAAGTATTATTTTTATTAATTGTTCCTATGTGTGTCTTGTTTCCCTATACCAGTTGTAAACATGAGTATTTTCTTATGAGATTAGATCTTAAAATTTCTTTTTAGACCCTTCTCACAGTTATTTCTCTAATGTTTGTCTTATAGTAGATATTTAAAATATGTTGGTCTTTTTGTGTCTTAATATGGTTAAGTTCTCAGAAGTAGTATACTATAATAGAAAGAGCTTTAGACTGTGAGTTAAAAAAAAAAATGTGGATTTAAGTCCCAGTTTTATCCTTATTTGACCTTGATTAAGTCACTGAAGCTCTTAATTTTTTTTCCCCCATCTGTGAAGGGAGGTTAAGGGTTTTTACCCTGCTTACTTGGCTGGGTTGGTGTCACCATCAAGCGAGATAATTTATTTGAAAATTCATTATAGACAAGAAATGCTTTTAAATACATGGTGGTGGAAATGCATTAATTTTTTTTCTAAACCTGGAAAACCATTGTCTCAGAGAGAATCAATGTAATGTCACCCTGTAGCCATGATGTGGTCCCACCTTTACAGGTCCTTTCAGAGCTATTTTCCCAGTATATTTGACATCCCCCATTCCAGAAGTACTCTGCTGGTATGTAGTTAGTTGAATGTCATGACTAGTATTATATTTCAAATTGGGTGACTTCTTTTACTGATGAAATTGCAGGTTTTTGACTCCACTGCTAACAAAGACAAGCTGCTTCGTCTGAAATTAGGATCAGGAAAAGTTATCAAGGTAAAGGCTTAGCTGTTTTTTATGGTTCTGTCAGTTGCAGAAGGCGTAATTTAGATTAAATTTTGTGGATTTTCCAACCTGGGTATATATTCTGAGTCTGGAAAGGCTTGGTTGAAAAGTAGGAGGGAAAAAATATGGTATATTATGTGCATTTGGGAGATTTTTACTTATGAGATGATATAATTAGGATGTGTACATTTCTTTAGTCCTGCCCTTTGTTTTTCATCGTGTTACTCTGAGGAAATTATTAAACCCTTCCTGTAGCCTAATAAGGGAAAGAGGTAGAACTGCTTCTTCCTGACTTGTGTCATAATGGGTTGATTCTCATCTGTCTGGGGTACTTTCGCTCAGTACTTCCCAATCATTGTGAGAGACAGCTGTGACATTACAGCAGGAGCACTGAAATTGGAGTCCAAGGACCTGGGTTCAAGCTGTGAATTTGTTCATTACCAACTGTGCAGGTGTTTTAGAACATTAAAGAGTATTTTATACATGTGGGGTATCATTGTATCAGGACACATCAATGGATTGTGAAGTACTCATTCATCTGTGTGGCAAAATCTTCTCCATAGCTTTGTTTATGACTTCTTTCCCGTAATTTTTTGGAGACTTTTTCCTATAGCCATTGAAGCTAGCCAGGTCTAATGTGAATCTTGCCTTAGCAACTTAACTAACTGTATGTTCTTGGGCTAGTTAACTTAACCTTCCCAAGCCTCAGTTTTCTCATCTGTAAAATGGGGATATGCTACCAACCTTATGAGTTTATTTTAGGCATTACGTAAGCAAATAACATGGGCGTGCTACCTTTTTTTGCCAACTGTGCCCTACTCCCTAGGAGGTATTTTTGTAGGGGCACTATGCTAATTTCTTTTACAGCAACGTGTAAAAAAAAATTAGTATAGAGTGCTTACAAAAATACCTGGGTGGGGAGGTGGAGGCGGGGAACATCCTGTTGCAAAAAAATGTAGAATGCACACATTATTTGCTCAAAAAAAACCCACAATAATGTATGTAAGACATTTTTGACAATACCTGGAAAAATGTGCTTAATAAGTGATACCTTTTGTTGTCCTTCTTTTATTCCTCCCGTTTTCTTTCATCATCTAAGATAAGTATATTTCATCCAACCCCAGACATGCCAGCTTTTACAAATGGGTTTACAAGCACTGCTCTAGAAATCTTATAACTGATGTGGGAGGAATAGTTGTACTTGGCCTAGAGAGATGTTGTCTAAATCAGAAAGGATAAATGAGTGAAACCTGATGATCCTGTACTTCACTTTGTCTTATAAGGAGGTTTGTGTCTGATGAATTTTTCCACCTTTTCTGATTCCTAAAGGGCTGGGAGGATGGAATGCTGGGCATGAGAAAAGGAGGGAAGCGGTTGCTTATTATCCCTCCATCCTGTGCTACTGGCTCTGAAGGGGTAATAGGATGGACTCAAGCAACGAACGCAATCCTGGTGTTTGAGGTGGAGGTTAGGCGGGTGAGTGAAACTGTGCTGTGTTGTTTGTTGAGTCCTCTGAGTACCTCCTTGCTAATTATGTAAAATGGATAATGATGTTTGAAAATCAAGTTCTGAAGACATAGTTTTGTTGTTGTTGTTTTTCAAGTAGAAATGTTATAATGGAAAGAGCAACAACCTTGGAATCTAAAGACCAAGGTTTATGTCCTTTTTGGCTCTCTATACCGAGTCTAGAAGAGGTTGTGACTTTGAGCAAATTACTTCTCCACACGTTTTATTTTGTCTATAAAATAGCGATTCTTGCCCAATGTACTTACTAATTCCATAGCTACAGATTTTTCCTATCAGTGTATTCATGTAAGTATGTAAAGATATTTTCTCCTTCCTCTGGTACATTGTGATAATAAAAAACTGGAAACAACCTAAACGTCTATCATTAAGAGATGGGTTAAATTATGGATTTTTTTTTTTTCGTACAGAGGGCTTTTACATAGCTTTTAAAGAATATCCCAAATCTATTGTTACATGAAAGAAGGAAGTTGCAGAACAGTATGGATAGTGTGTCTTCTGTGTGTGCGTGTGTCTGTGTATATACAGTCTCACATGTGTATGTATCTATATCTCTCCCTTTATATACATATATACTGTCTTACTTATCTATATATATATATATTCTGATATATCTATATACAGTCTTACATATCTATCTATTATATATGTGTACACACACACACACACACACACACACAAGGCATATATAAATATGCCCACACAGTGCTTTCCAGAAAATTTCTGGGAGCATTAAAAGAATAGAAATGGGATTCAGAGACTTTTACTTTTTTGCTTTCTACCCTTTTTTACCATTTGAAATTTTTATCGTGAATATAATTTCTATAATAAAATTTGTAAAAAAAAAAGGTAATTAATGCTAACTCCCCCCACCAAAAAAAAAAAAAACAAAAAACCCTGCCTTTACAAGGTGATTGTTAGGTTTAAATACAATAGTGTTTGTGACTGTGAACTATAAAATGCAATAATAAATATTACAGTCATCTTCATTGTGGTTATTATTCCTGCTGCCAGAGAAAGGATATGCTGTCCTTCTCAATGATTCTTTCCTAACTGTACACCCTCATCACTGCTTGGTCACTCCAGCCCACTTTCAATGACACATGCCCCCAGCTGCCTTTTCCACAACTTTTATATTCTCCTCAATTTTCCTTTGAGTTTGAGGAATTCATGGCTGGTGATAACAAACCTTTTTGAATTCATCCAGATTGGCAATTTGTAAGCATAAGAAGAAAATGTTCTATTTACTGACAGTCAAAGAAATACAAATTGACATGCATATTAAATTGACAAGATGATAAAGATTGATAATACCCAGGGTGACAAGAGTGTTGAGAAAGATTTATAAACTAGTTATTCTGGATAAACATTTGAAGGTATGTATCAAGAGTCTTAAACATGAGCATACCTTTTACCCAACAATCTAACTTCTGGAAAATTATACTTTGGAAATATTTAAAGCTATGTGCAAAGATATAGGTCTAAAGCTATCCATAGAAGTATTATTTATGATGGAAAAAATTAGAAGTAAACCAAATGTCCATTAGCTGGGAATTAGTCAAATATATTTTGTAATAGCATAGATATTTATGATTTTTTTCCAGAATCCTTTGGAGACTTTTTTGTGTAGATCATAGCAGTTAAGGGCATGGCTCTTGAATCTAGACACACTCTTCTGTAGTTAAAACTAATATTGTAGATCAATATTTAGTGACATGGAAATATGTTAATGTATCAGTGAGACAAATAGTATGGCTCCATTTTTCTAAAAAGTGCATGCATATATATGTAAATTCACACACACTCACACCCCATATATAAGGCGTATGTATGAATGTATGTATTTGTGTATGAATATATGAATGTGTGTGAGTATATCTCAGAAAAATGTGAAATAATACATATGATATTCTAAGAATGTTATTGCTGAGTACTTGAATTGCAGGTGATTATTATCTTTTTCTTTCTGCTTACCTCTGCATTTTCTAATTTGCCTACAATGAATAGGTAATGACTTGTGTAATAAAGAGTAAATTAAATGAAAGGAGAGTAGAATGGGAAGAGTGCCTTTTTTGTAGTCTATTCCAGCTGGGGTGGATCTTTTCCTAGGTGAAGTTTGCCAGAGATTCTGGCTCCGATGGGCACAGTGTTAGTTCCCGGGACTCTGCGGCCCCTTCTCCTACACCTGGTGCTGACAACCTCTCTGCTAATCCTGCTGTGTCACCACCCACATCGGTGCCTTTTAAATCAGGGTAAGATACTGGGGTTCTATTATTGTCCGTAAAAGTGATTTTTAGAGGTGTTCAGAAATGGGGATGTAGTTGAAAACTAAAATAATTTTAAATAACTGAAAAAAAATGTGATGAAGGAAATGGGGGAAATACTTGCATCAGATTTCCCTGACAAAGGATTAATAGTCATAGTCTGTAAAAGTACTAACAAATATATAAGAATACCCACAAAACGGGAAGAAATTTGGACAAAGGGCATAAATACAAAATATACACCCAAGAAAAAATATGTAAATAATAAGCATTTGGATAGAAAATTGTTCATCTTCATTAGAATTCAAAGATTATGCAAACTAAAGAAGAGTTAAACTTCTGTTTTATAGCCATTAAATTGACAAATATTTTTAAAAGCAGTCCATTTATCCAGTATAATCTGGACTTGTGATTATGGGTTTTGTTTGTATCTCAGGATATGTTTTATTTGCTTTCAGGGAGCCAGCTCTTCGTACCAAATCTAACTCCCTCAGTGAACAACTTACAGTAAGTCCAGTAAGTGTACAAGTGTGTCTCCCCAAACCCCAGTGTGCTGAGAAGATTCCGTGTGCCTAGGGTAGTGGTTGTTCTTAGTTGCCATCAGGTCCGTTCTGACTCATGACGACTCCATGTGTTATGGAGTAGAAGTGCTTCATAGGGTTTTCTTGGCTGTAACCTTAACAGGAGCTGATTGCCAGGGCTTTTCTTCCATAGTACTGCTGGGTGGGTTCAAAGTGCTAGCCTTTAGGTTAGTAGTTGAGCACAAATGGTGGGCTAAGGAAAAAGAAAGTCGAGAGCTATTTAGACTAAAGATCAATCATTACTTTATTCATTTCCTCTTACTTGGGAGTTAATGTGAGTTAGCCTGGCCTTAAGCATAAACAGACCATGGTTCAAATCTTTATTCTTAAAAGCTATGTGGCCTTGAGTTACCAATCCCTGTAAATAAGCTTCATGTCTTATGTTTGTTGCTTAAAAATAATAAAAATAGAGGTTATGATCATTTCTTTCTACATCTAGTGGGTCATCATGTGTACTGTCTGGGGTATGTACTTCCTACTCTGAAGACTATGCTTTGGACCAGTTAATGAATACAGAGACTTCTAGCACAGGGCCTACTATATAGGCAGCGCCAAGTCAGAGTTAAATGAACTTGAAGTTAGAACAAAGAGTTCCTGTTTATTCCTCTCCCCCAATCTCTTTGGAATGCTTATCTATTGAATTGCTCCAAGGCTCTTCAGAGGGTACTATCATATAAAATGCACCCTTCCCCTAGTTTTTTGTTTGTTTGTTCTAGAGAAATTTTAGGCTTACAGAAAAATTGTACAAGAAATACAGAGTTCCCACATACCCTTTGCCCCCTGCACATCATTTCTTCTATTAACATCTTGTATTCCTGTTTATTGTAGTTTTTCATCCATTAAACGAGAATAATTATGCCTGGTAGAAGACTTGATTGAATTAAGTAACAAACATGAAACTACTTTGTCCATTCCAAACATGTAGGGAATTATTTTCACTGCTATTATTGATTATGATCCATGTATACTTCTAGCCAAGAAATCTTTGATTCTCATTTTCTAGAAGAAATGGTTTTAGATAGATATGGTAGGGGAACTTGTTGAAGGATTTGATGTAAGATCCAAAGGGATTAAGCCGCCTGAAGGTAATGAACATTGCTTACAGTGATTCCTGTGACTTTCCTCTCTTTTTAGAATCCTGATACAGTCAAGGCCAAGTTGATCTCCCGGATGGCCAAAATGGGCCAGCCCATGCTGCCCGGCCTTCCACCTCAGCTGGATTCCAATGATTCAGAAATTGAAGTATGTTCCCTTGGCCGTATTAGAATGAGTAGTGCAGATGATGGCATCTTCTGTTCCTTTGGTTGAAATTATTGCTCTTTCTACCTCTAATCCAGAATCATTAGTTAGAGAGTTTATATGCAAAATGATGCAGGTTGGTATTGGACCATGTGTTTCTATCTGCGATTAGCACGTTCTGTGGGAAATGGAAGCAATTCCACTTATCTATCACAAACACTAGGAAGTTTTAAGTAGTTAATATAATCATTTACTAGAATCTATAATGTCAGTAAAGATCACTCTTAGGGAGCGGCATAATGCTCAACCCATAATAGATACTCAATTAATAAAATTTGGATAATATAATATTCTTAGAAATAAGAAAAAAGTTATTAAAATGTTTAAGTGGTACTTCTTCATTATAGAATAACAAACTATAGATAAAGAAGAAACATTTCACAAAAAAGCATTCTTCTTTATAGTGTTGTAACCTGATTTTTTAAACTTAATATTACATCATGAATATTTATATTACTATAAATACATCTGCATTATTACCTTTAAAGGTAGTCCAGTATATTGATTTATCATAATTTCTTTTGCTATGTTGTTAGACATTTAGATTGATATAGATCTGTAGTGATCTAAAACTGGGACATTTTTCCAGAAGAGACTATCAAGGGATGAGGGGATGTTCTAAAGTAAAACTATGCCAAAGAGTTTTCAGCTCTTAAACTATAAAAACCCCATTGCCATCTAGTCAATTCCAACTCATAGCGACTCTGTACGACAGAGTAGAACTGCCCTATAGAGTTTACAAGGCTGTAAATCTTTATGGAAGCAGACTGCCACATCTTTCTCCTGTGGAGTGGCTGGTGGGTTCGAACTGCCGAGCTTTCGATTAGCAGCCAAGTGCTTAACCACTCTGCCACCAGGGCTCCTTCCTTGAACCATAGCAGATCACAGTCTCTGCATATTGAACCTCAAGCTTTTCTGTTCCTTGTTTAAAATAGGATAACTTTGCTTAGAGTTATAGTAAAGACCAATATAGCTTTGATTTTATGAAAATAAAAAATGGGAGGAGGGTGGAAAACTCAAACTATGTTATTCAAAAACAACATGCTAATGAGGTTTTCACGGAGTTCCTTGAGCCCTGTGGAGATTAACTGGCAGAAGAGAGGAGGCTGGATTGTTCCCTGGGTTTCCTTGCAAGATTCCCCACTTCTGTGGGAACAGACTAGATCAGTCTTAAGGTAGCTGCCGGTTTGGAAAATGATATATTCTGGAGAGCCATCAGTTTAGCTGCTTCAGATCGTAAAGCATCAACAACTGATAATGTTTAAGGAAATTAACTATATTTAGTCATTTTATGTGATTTAAAGGGACAGGGGATTTACAGGAATAGAATAAGTGTTTTTCCCCCACAGTCCAAACCGCAAACTCTTAGTTTCCTGCTTGCCTTTCTTCCCTTTTCTTTGCCTAGAAAGCCTGTGTTGTAAGTAGACTTAGGTTGGACAGTAAGTCTCAAACTTCAGTTAAAGACTGATACAGAGTGACCAAAACCCATGTCCTATTTTAGGATGTGAATGCTCTGCGAGGGGCTGGGCAGCCCATGGTGACCCCGTCCATCCAGCCCTCTCTTCAAGCAGCCCATCCAGTGTTACCACAGATGACCTCACAAGGTAAGGAACCTCTCTGAGGCTCTGTGACCTTCAATTGGGTCAGCACCAATTCAAGTGTTCCTTGAATTGTTAGGTTGCATTGTTTTAGTACTAAAAATCAGACTAGTATAAAGCTTGTCAGTTTGTCCCTAGGTAGGGCATTTTCAGACCTGGAGATGCATTTGGTCTGCTTGCTGTGTCTTCAGGTATGTTGCATTGTCAATTTTGGAAATCTGCACTCAGTTAATGAGACATCTCCTTGTGTGTTATTCTGCACTTCCTGTCAGCCACACCACTAATGGGTCATAGGTCTGAGTCAGATGCACATGAGAACACCCAGTTTCCTTCCACTCTCCCATTGCTGAGACTCCAGTAGAGTGGGCTTTGGGAGACTAGGTGAGGAAAGTGGTCAAGTCTGAAGCGTGAGGACATGTAAGGTGCTAGTACCAAGGAGAAGCAAGGGGTGGATAACAGTGAAAACTTCTTGCTTTTTCTTAGTGCCTCAGCCATCTGTTTCTGGGCTCCAAGCACCTTCTGCTGCCTTAATGCAAGTTGCATCTCTCGATTCCCATTCAGCTGTATCTGGAAATGCCCAGTCCTTTCAGGTAACAATATTTTAAGACCATATTTATTATAAGCTATAATTTATTATGGTTCTGGTTCTTTTTTTTCTTACTGTCCAATTCACACAGAAGCAGTTCCCGAAAGTCAGAGTTTATCGTTTTTTCTTTTTCCCGAACCACTGTTTTCTCAACTGTAAACCAGGCAAAGGTTGTTACACCTTACAGGTTATAAAGATTAAATGCACCAACAAGCAAAGACCTAGTATAAGGCTTGGCACACAGTTAAGGCCTAGTCAGTGTTGGTACCCTTTCCTTTTCACTCATATCTACTTTGAGGGGTATATATTGAAGTCTACTGTGTTCTGTTCTTTTTATCAAACAGCTGATAGGCTAAGATTCTGCACTGTACTCCTGTACTCAGCAGAGTAGTTGTGGCTTGTAGGTGGAGACTATATGGAAAATAGCTCTCGAGTTATCCTCCAAAACGATCTCTTAAAGTAGGCTGTTTTCTGTTTGCCTCTGCTGTTTGCCAGGGTGGTAGCATCTTTCTTTTGCCTCAGCACACTTGGTAGATAAGACACACTCCCATGGATAACAGTGGCTCACTTCCTTAGTGATTCTTAATGGGGCAGGGTGGTGGTAGGTGGGCTATGCACTATTAGGATGGGGTGTCTCAAAATTGAAAAAAGTCCCACCCTTGCCCTTCTCCACACCCCCGCCCCCGGTGGAGAATTACTATCCTGTAGACTATGATTTTCTTATAATAGATGGGCGGTCAGGATTTCTTTATTTCAAGGGAGAATAACCATGGTTATATCATTAAAATGATATCTGATAGTGAGCATTTACTATCTGTGAGACACTTAACTTACCAGCTGTTAGGAACTTTATCATTGCATTTAGTCCACACAGCAACTCTGTGAAGTGATATTATTATCTTCATTTGACAGCTGAGGAGACTGAAGGTCAGAGGAAAATGAGACACTTGGTCACAGAGATAAGTGTTGGGGACACAGAGGGACTGTCACAGCTTTGAAAACTGGCGGATTTAGTTTGGAATCTCAATGAACACCTCTGCTTTTACCTCAATAACTGAGCAGAGTTTGCTTAATTGCAAATTGTTTTAGAAATTCAGTAGGTCTGATAGCTGGGAAATGAATTCCTACCCAAGTCATATAACCAGAGGGACTGGGTATTGACCCAAGATGCTTTTCCCTTAATTTTTGGGTAGGAGTTCAGTGACTAGGTACCGTTGAGTCACATGGAGAAGCCTCTTGCTACAATTCTTATCCAATTTTAAACCCTGATCTCATCCTGCTCTAGTTGCAGTAAGTTTGAATCCCCTCCCAGCTTATCCACCTTATTCTATTAAGGAATAATGTGAGCAAAAGAGAGAGATGTGAATGTTTTATAAACCAGCTGTCGTTTTCTCAGCCTTATGCAGGTATGCAAGCCTATGCTTATCCCCAGGTGTCAACTGTCGCTTCCCAGCTGCAGCCTGTTCGGCCCTTGTATCCAGCACCACTCACTCAGTCTCCCCATTTTCAAGGTAAGGAGCAGTTCCCTCAACTTATCATCTTCCACTCTTGCTGAGTTCTCCTTCCTCTCATCTTTTCAACATTTTTACTCCAGTAGTTCTCTACCCTTTGTTTCTTTTTTTTTTTTTAAACAGTTTTGTTGAGGTATAATTTACATAACATAAAATTCACTCATTTTAAGGGCACAATTCAATGATTTTTTTTTTAAGTAAATTAACAGAGCTGTGCAACCATCACCACTATCAATTTTAAAACATTTCCATCATCCCCCCAAAAATCCCTCATGCCCACTTTCTGTCCTTTGCTTCTTACATTATCTCCTGCTGGCTCTTTTTAATTCCTCTATCAGAGTGGCCAGAGTTTATAGTAAATAGAAAAAGATCAAAACATTGGAGGAAATTGGGAGAAAGAATGATGACTGTTTGTGGGTGTTCAGTATCTCAGATGAAAGCTACTGTCTTAAATTTTTTTAATTATGAAAATAATATACTCTTATAAAAAAATTAAGACAATACAAAAGGGTGTATTGTCCTTCCCCAGCATGGAAACCCTCTGACCATAGGAAACTATTGTTAATGGTTTCTTGAGTAATTTTTCCAATATCTTCTATGCATGGACAAGTGCTGGTGTCGTGTGTAAAAAACAAAATAAAATATAAAGAGTTGGGATGGTATCCTACCTTTTTGTTCTGCAGCTTGCCTTTTTCATAGTAATCACCTTTTGACAGTGGGAGTAAGAAGCAAGTGTATCCTACAACATAATTTGTGGTTCTAGAGTGGTAAGGGTTTCCTTGATGCAGCCTTTTCTCGATGCCCTCCCCCTTCTCCATTTGGGAAACCCTTTTCATCCATGAAAACTGTCATCTCCTTTGTGAAGTCATCCCTGATTTTTATTCCTCCCCCCTCCTCTCCTCCCAGAGTTATAACCATGTATGTGTCTTACCAAAGAGTTAATTTTGCTATTATCCGTGCTACTTCTGTACCTTGTACGTGGTCCATTTTTTAATGTTAAAACACTGTTGTAATGATCTGTGAGCTTGCCAAGGGCAGGAACCATAGTTTATTCATTACTTTATCCCTGGTACATGCTACCATGCCTGGCATGCAGTTGAATGAATGGGGAAGCTATTTGAGCTGCCAGTGCTATGGCAATCCAAAGAGGGCATACTTCTGCCCTCAGCCCAGATGTAGCCCTTGATGCCTTTTGCAGGAGCATAGCTTAGTTGTGGTTAACTTTGGAACCCTTTTGTCTCTCCTGTCTCCTCTGTATCTTCTCCTGACCATGTGAAATCACCTACAGCATTTCCTAGTATGTGGAAGTGTTAATTTCTTTCCTCTGCTGAAAGAGCTGTTGGCTTTTCCTTATACAGTATCCTCTGCACCAGTTTCGTAAGTTTCTTTTTGGCTTATGTCTGTTTAGGATCAGGTGACATGGCTTCATTTCTCATGACTGAAGCCCGGCAACATAACACTGAAATTCGAATGGCAGTCAGCAAAGTGGCTGATAAAATGGATCATCTCATGACCAAGGTGACTGAGTCAGGGTTGGGGCCGTGTTGAAATTGGGGGTATAAAAAGAGGGTACAAAGAGGGAGCAAGCAGAGCTAAAGGTAAACTCTTCCTTGGTTTTCTGTGTTCATGGTAGTTAGCAGTTATTTCCTTAGAAGGATAGTTATTATTTTGGGATCCAGTTAACAAAAGAAAACACTAGCTTACATTTAGAAATTGTCTCAAACTCATGAGCCCCTCAAAGAAGTGATCAGGTCCTGGGCAAATTGTCCTTCTCTATTTTAAACTTTCTCACATCATACTTTCTGGCATCCTTTTTGTAGGTTGAAGAGCTACAGAAGCATAGTGTTGGCAATTCCCTGCTCATTCCTGGCATGTCAGTTACAGTGGAGACAAGCATGATTATGAGCAACATCCAACGGATTATTCAGGTGAGGGTGATCAAAGACCAAACAGTCTGAGGTCTTGCCCATGCTCTTTCCCCAGATGTACTACCCTTTCAAACCTCTACCCCCAAAAGTGAGAGCGTTTGATACATAAAAAACCAAAAACCCAGTGCTGTCGACCCTGTATATGAGTATATGATACATGGGGTTGAGGAAATTCTGGAAAATCCAAAATGGCTTAATTTGGTCTGAGTGAGTTATTGTTATCTATATAGTCGGAAGGAAACATTTCTTTCGACCATATTTCAGAATTTTACTTCATTTTATAGCCATCTATATACTCAATCCATTCGGCATAGTGATTTGTATCCCTTAGGTATGATTTAATGTGTTGTTTGAAGCATTATATCTGTATCGACACGAGTTCTAGTTTTTAATCTCAAAATATGTAATGATGTCACCTGTCAGTTGAAGTTGATTCCCTTGTATCTAGCACTTTTCTCTTAAGAAACTTAAATTGTACATGACACATTTTGAATTTAGGAAAATGAAAGATTGAAGCAAGAGATCCTTGAAAAGAGCAGTCGGATAGAAGAACAGAATGACAAGATTAGTGAACTAATTGAACGAAATCAGAGGTAATGACAGGTACGGGGCGCTGGTTCGGACGGACAAAAGTGTTTGATTTGTAATGGCCGAGTTAAATAGACATGTTTGTTTAGGGAAGTGTATATGTATTTCTGCTGTTTCCTGACATGTGAACTTGGTGTTTTGGTAGAAACAACCCAATAGGCTGTGATGTACGGCAGACCTGTGTTTGAATCCCAGATCTGCCCTTCATTTGCTCTGTGACTTTGGGTATTTTATTTATTCCTGCTCACCCTAGTTTCCTTATCTGTAAAAATGGTGTTAATCCTTAGAAAATCCAGATGTCAATACTTCTCCTTTCTGTGTGGGCTGACTATTTTATCAGCCAGAACTCAACTAGAACTTCACTGATTTCCATCTAAAATCCAAGCGCTTTATAATTTTTGTGGCTCCTCCTGAAGATTTAGAGGGTCATGGGGAGATGTTGCAGCACACGGCATTTCACTTAAAAAATCATTCTCCCATGTTTCTCATCTCCAGTGTCTCTTGCCTCCCACACGGTGGGAGCTTTCTTTACTTCTCCCCTGTTTCTTGCAGCCTGCTTACTCCTTTCTCTTTCCTCTTTGATTCCTCCTCACCACACACCTTCAGATTCCTCTCTTTATTATCCAGAGCAGTTCACCTCTGGCAGGTTCCTGCCTCCAAACTTGAGTACTGCAGAGCTAAGGAAAACAAAATGCTTCCAAATTGTTTTTGTTATGGATACAGAGTAACGTTTTGAGGACTGAATGTGCCTTGGGTTGTATGTGGGCTAACTGTATTAGGTGCGTAATGAATGTTTTCTTTTTCTCTATTTATTTTACAGATATGTTGAGCAGAGTAACCTGATGATGGAGAAGAGGAACAACTCACTTCAAACAGCCACAGAAAATACACAGGCAAGAGTTTTGCATGCTGAGCAAGACAAGGTAAACTAACTGCGGGAGAGCAGCACAGATAGGATGGGTAGAGCTAAGGAGTAGGCTTGTGTATGTACTTACCAATCTGCTTTTGCCATCATTGGGAAGAAATTTTGCCATCATTGGGAAGAGAATTAGGAATACTCCAACATATTTTAATGTGTATCCACCCTCCAGATTTCTGTTTTATAATATGCTTTGTAATAAATTTACTAAAATACAGTCACTAATCTTAGTAATTTGATTAAGGTAAGAATTACATAACTTATTTGAAGCTAAATTTATTCTGTTGACAAAATCAGAAAAAAAATTCTGTTGTGTTAGGTAACAGATGTGTATGTTGTTTTTAGTGAAATTTAAGATTGTTTAGTTTGCTCCTTCATCTATGTCGTCAAAGCATGGTAAAGTATTGCCCTTTGATTTTAGTTATTCCAGAACCAGGAAATTCTGTTCCTCAAGAGTTATAAGGAAGACTCTAGTGGGTGTTGGGTTATGATGGACTCATATTCTTTGGCTCCACCTCCAGAGATTCTAATTCAGTACATTAGCTGACATCTGAATCTGAACTTTTACGAAGCTCCCTTGATGATTCTGGTACACAGCCAGGTGTAGGGATCTCTGCTCTTGTCACTGACTTATTTGTCAGAATCTCTGCAGGTGGCAGCTGGACACCTGTGTTTTTGACCCTTAAGATGAGTATTACTGTTGTAGGTGTGTGTGTGTTCCAGTAAAACATTATTTACAGAAATGGGCAGCAGGCCAATTTGGCCCATATGCTATAGTTTGCCAACCCCTGAATTAGCTCATTAATCCACCCAAATGTTTCATGTTGATAAACCCCAAAGATGTCTGGTGTAGTACATTAAACCCAGTAGAAGCTCTGTCTGTAATGGCAAAAACAATAATAATAACAATGACAACAATAGTAATAGCTAACATCTGTCAAGCACCCACAAGGTTCTAGGCACCATTCTTTATATAAATCTTTTCATAGATCTGGGCTGAGTGTCACTGTTCTTGATGAATAGGTTACCAAGTACCACATGCTTCATTACCTTCAAACACACCTCAAAAAGTTATGGTTCTTTAGTGCTCAATAAATATTTAGTAAATGAAATTAATTTTTCTCTATGACAGGATTAATATTTCCACATAAAACCATGAAATACTGATTGAAACTGGAAGAGCTATTAGAGGTTGTCTTAGTTTTCTAGTGCTGCTATAACAGCTATGCCACAAATGGGTGGCTGTAACAAACAGAAATTTATTTGTTCACAATTCAGGAGGCTAGAAGTCTGAATTCAGGGTGCCTGCTCTAGGGGAAGGCTTTCTCTCTGTGTTGGTTCTGGGGGACGGTGCTTGTCTATTTTCAGCTTCTGTTTCTTAGTTCCTTGGAGATTTCATGTGATGTGGCATCTGTCTTTCCTCAAGTCTGCTTGCTTGCTTGGTTGCTTGCTTAATCTGCTCTTTTTATATCTCAAAACAGATTAATTTAAGACACACTCTATACTAATATTGTCTCATTAACATAACAAAGAAAAACCTTCCCAGATGGGATTATAACCAGAGGTATAGGGGTTAGGATTTACAACACATATTTTTGGGGGACACAATTCAATCTATGATAGAGATCATTTAGTCTGACCTACTTATTTTATCAAAGAGCAAACTGAGACCCAGAGCAGGTAGAAGACTTGCCCTGGATCTCACTGCCAGCCAGTGGCAAAGCTGTGTTCTTTTTCCTATGTCAAATTGTCGTCTCTCTTTGGTGCCACTTTCCTGCTTCTAATATGAATGCTTTTTCACTCGTTTTTGTGAACTCTTCGTTTTTTCTGTCATTGCTTTCTTTTCCCAGCTCTCCATGTCAACATCAGAATTTGATCCAGGGTGGGAACCAAGGAGCCATCCCATCCACTGTGCTGGTTTTTGGTGTTTTTCTTTCTCACTTGATATTACACACCCTTACGTTTTAAAAAAAAAAAATTGTAATTATACATATGTAATTACATATTATATATTTTTTTCTGATTATAAAAGTTGCATCTGTTCTTCCTAGAAAATTTAGAAAATACAGTAAGCAAAAATAAAATATAAAATCGGCCATAATCCTTCCACTTAGAGATAACTATTGTTAATATATAATTTATCCTTTCACTGTTTTCTCTGTACATGTATCTAGTTGGATGGAGTATTACTTCTTATGCTTCTAATAGGCCTTTTATGGAGTCCCTGGGTGGTGCAAACGGTTAAGCATTTGACTGCTAGCTGAAAGGCTGGCAGTTTAAATGCACCCAGAGGTGCCTTGAAAGACAGGCCTGGTATCTACTTGCAAAAGGTCACAGCCTTGAAAACCCCATGGAGCAGTTCTACCCTGCACATAATGGAATTGACACGAGTTGGAATAGACTCAAAGACAACTAACAACAACAACGGTAGGCCTTTCTGGTTACGGACCTGTAATAGAAAGTGCTTTTGATTGATCTTCCAGTGATATGACTCCAGAGTATGTCAGGTTCTGTAGACTGCCACTGTCCTTGTCATTTGATAAGAGAGTGGCCATTCATTGCATTGCCTCTTCCCTGGAGTTTATCTCCTAGCTCTTAGCTGCTGCAGTGGCCTTCTAAGAATGGTGCTTGCTCTAATACTAGTAAACTCTCTGAGCCACAGATGGACGCAAAGGTCTTTGAGCATTATGTTAGTCAGTTTTCATTAGGCCATTTGAGGCGGGACATTTATTCTACTTGGGACAGATGAAAACCCCTATTATATCTGGAAGTTCTAGCTGCCACTGTCTTCTTTGTGTAACACAGGTTAAAAACATAAAGCTGCTAAACAGCAAAAACAGGTAATTCAGAGCTCACTCCAAAGGTCGCATACATTCTCAGACATTCATTCTTAGCCTATTTTTATTTTATATACAGTTTTAATTTGTTTGATTTCACCACCTTTAAAAGGAGATTCAAAATACCAGATTTTAAATGGGAGCTAGAAAACTGATAAAGGCAAGGAATAAATAAGTTTAAAACAGAGATAGGCACAATGGAAGCCATGAGAAAGGACAAGCAATAGTAAGAAAGTAAATAATTATAAAAATGTTTGTAGAGTATAATAGTAATAGGTGTTTGGGTTGGAGAGACAGTCCAATCCCATAAATACACTGCTGTGCAGAAATCAAGACTGGTCACCAGCAGAGTGACCACTGCCTTTCCTGTCGTATGAATTCCCTTATATTTTATGGAGGGTATCAGTTCAGGTGAAATGTATGTGGACCATCCTTGTAATCATCATCATCATCATCCTTAGTACACAGAATGTCATTAAAGATTTTTCCAGGGTAGTCATTTTAGTTTCATCAGACGTAATGGGTCTTTTGGAATAAAGTTAAGCTCCTGTTTGGCTAGTACAGAGTACCATTTAAATAAAATACATTGAACAGTCAAGGAAGTTGAAGTTCCCTTCCTTTATTAACTCTGTTCTTCCAAAGAACCCGAAAGCAGTTATTCTTATACAGCTGATCTTTACAACATTACAGTACTACTAGTAGTATACTACTACTAGGGAGAAGTAGCAGACTCAGAAGCTGTTTGCCTTTGAAAACATCACTTCATTTATTAATGAATTCAATTTAAATTTGACAACCATTGCTGACTCTGGTAGGAATGTAGACTGGATCATGGAGGGGAATCTGGTAATGTTTTACAAAATCTCACAGAAGCATTTACTCTTTGATCCAGCAGTTCCACTTTCGGGAACCTCCTAAAGTCGTACCTGCCCATAAATGAAATGACATGTGTCCAGGGTTATTCAGTGGTGGCTTGTTGTGGGCTGAAAACAATCCAAGTGTCCAGCAGTAGAGAATTGGTTGAATAAACTATTGTACATTCACATGGTGGAATACTATGCAGCTATTGAAAAAAAGAAGGATAAAGTACTGTATGTACTAACTGAGAGTGTATATAGTTTGTCACCATTTGTATATGAAAGAGGGATAAATAAGAATCGTATTAGTTTTTGCATAAAAAAATCACTGGAGAGATGAAAAAGAAATTATTGTATACTTACCTGTGTGAAGCAAGGAGGAAGAAGTGGATAGGAGCAAGACTTCTCAGGGTTTACCTTTTTATATCTTTTTAATTTCTAAGCCATGTAAACATACTACCTTTTCTAAAAAAAAAATTATTTATAAAACTATATATAGATAATTATTATTTAATTATATATAGTAAAATACGTAATTATGTACAATTATTTACAAATATGTATCTATATACAAATAATAATTTTGTATATATATATTTTACAAATATATTTACAAATATATATACACACACTCACTGTCAGAGAAAAAGAAATATAAACCAAAAAAACCAAACAAACTTGCTGCCTTCAAGTCAATTCTGACTCATAGCAATCCTATAGGGCACAGTAGAACTGCCCCATAGGGTTTCCAAAGCTGTAATCTTTATGGAAGCAGATTGCCACATCTTTCTCCTGTAGAATGGCTAGTGGGTTGTTGCTGCTGATCTTTTGGTTAATAGCTGAGTGCTTAACCACTGTGCCACCAGGGCTCCTTTAAGAAATACAAAGCACCTATAATTTTTTCTAGCGAGACTAACTGCTGTTGAAAAGATAAACATGATATATATAATTTCAAGTTCTCTTCTTTACATAAATAAGTGTCCCTTTTATAAAAATAGAATTCTATCGAACATATCATTTGAAAATCTACTTACCCTCTTCATTTGGCAATAGGTTATGACTATCTTCCATGTCACTAAGTATTCCACAGTGCTGTTTTTAATAGCTGCATACATCATAGATGTGTTATAATTTGCTTAATCAACCCTCATTTCAGTCTTTTACAATACTGCAACAAATATTTTTATAGCAAAATTTTTGTAATCTTACATAATGATTTCCTAAGGACAGATTTCCCCAAGAGAATTCCTGAGTCATAGACTATGTATTTTTAAAGCTTGATTTCAGTTTAATGAGGTTTAAGGTGGGTTCAGCTCCCTTCCCGTCTACCAGTTCAGCCAGCATAGTTATGTGAGGTTGGGTCATCACCTAGAGACAAAGAACACCCATGTTTTAACTGACATCATACTTTGTTACTATTCAGGCCAGGGTGACAGAAGAGCTAACAGCAGCCACAGCTCAGGTCTCTCATCTGCAGCTGAAAATGACTGTTCACCAAAAGAAAGAAACAGAGCTGCAGATGCAGCTGACAGAAAACCTGAAGGAGACAGACCTCCTCAGGGGCCAACTTGCCAAACTGCAGGCAAAGCTCTCAGGTATGTGCTTGGTTAAAGGGGCTGAGATTTTGCCACTTAAACTTGTGGAATTACAGTTTCCTTCCTCTTGATCCCTTTAGCATAATGGTCATGAGGTTTATGACGGACTGACCTAAAAATTAAGGGGGATCAGTTTAAAACCTCCATGACTATTTTATATAAAGGACAACAAAAGAACGGACTATTCATTTAGAATTTATCAGTTGCCATAGTTTTCCTTTGTTTGGGGAACTGTTGCAGTCAGTATCTTTGTACTTAAGATTGGCATCATGCCTGGAAGAGTTAATGTGTTCCTCTAACTTGTGACTCAGTGGAAGTTTAAGAAAGAGGTGCTTCCTGTAGTGGTTGCCTCTTTCCTAGAGGATGGATTGTAGTTCCTGAAGCTGGCACTCAAGGCCCCTGCAGCTTGGCCTCTGTATACTGTACACATTGCTGCCTTACCTCACATTATATTGCCCAGTCATTTTGGCTTTACATATACCAGCCAGCCTGCTGGCTGTTCTTCAGTACATCCTGTAGTTCTTGTTTTGCTTTTTATTCATGCTGTTCTCTGGACTTGATGTGCCCAACATCACCAATATTTGTTTTCAATTTTCTTTGAAATTTTACCTCTTTTAGAGGATGGTTTCAGAACATTTGATCTCCTTCAGAATCCTTTATCTTAGTACATTATGATGACTATTATCGCAGTCAGCTTTTGATCAGCATTATTTGTATGTATGTTTTCCCCTTTAGAATGCAAGTTCCTGAAGGGCAGAAATGGTGTCTTGCTCATCTTTGTAAAATCCTTTCCTCCAAATTAGTGTTAGCTCAGTGCTTGGCACTCAGGTAGTCCTCAAGACCTGATGATTTGAATAGAAGATTTGGGAAGACCAGCATGTTAATTCATCCACTTTGGTGTATGGAAGGATGAAGCTGGAGCAGCAGTAGAGTTGGGAAGAAGCAAAGCTCCCTTGCCTAATAGTTGTGAGTTGGTAAAGTGATACCTTGAAGATATGTCCCTTCCCTTTTGGAGCACCACCTCGGGCCACATGAGGCAAACGTGTGTTGGACAGTCTTAGATTTGAATGTAGCACAGATATTCCCATCTTTGCTTTTATGTTGCCCTATGACAATTACCTCAAGAATATCCATAAGAGACTTGGAAGTTTCCAAAACGAAATTAATTTTAGTGCATTAAATAAATAAAAAATATTCCCTATACCTTTCTTTGAGAAGGAGTGTTTTGAAAACAAACTCTTGGTAGAACGTCCCTGTAGCCAAGAAAGTTGAGAATACCTTACCTAGGCAGTGAAGAAGGGCCTGGACCAATACCAAAGATCTGTCCAACGTGTTAGGATCGTGACTGAAATGCAATTGTGGGGGGTTGTCTGTTTCACATGTGGTTTCTGACCACTTGGAACATTCTTTTCCCATTTTGTATGTGTAGGAAGTGACACATATGTGGAGCTGTGACTTCCTTCAGAATAAATATGAGTTGGTGGGAGAGTCAGCTTATGGCTTGATAAACCTTATTGCTGGTTAGTGAGGTAACTCTGAAAGGAGTGAGTGGAGGATGCTGTTTGGTGGGACTCGGAAATCTCAGCAGGCAGCTTTGAAAGAGCTGCTGGAATGCCATATAGCCCACTGCAGCTCTGGTTCTCCAGTCAAGTCTGTCTGCTGTTATATCCCAGAGCTCCAAGAAACCTCTGAGCAAGCACAGTCCAAATTCAGAAGTGAAAAGCAGAACCGTAAACAACTAGAACTCAAGGTAACATCCCTGGAGGAGGAGCTGACTGACCTTCGAGCTGAGAAGGAGTCTCTGGAAAAGGTAAGTTCTCCAACCCAAGTTTCTCTATTGGACCCAAGTGGCCAGGATTAGCTGTTTAATAAACATTTTTCCCCTTTAAATATGATGTATGCTTATTGTAGCAAATACAAATAGTACAGAAAAGTATAAAATAAAAGGTGGCATTTATCTTAACCTCTCTGATTTCATGCGTTAAAGGTAACAACAATAAACAGTAGATGATGTATCCTTCCAGATTTGTTTTCTGTGTGTATGAAACACACACACATATATACACAGATACCATTTTAAACAATAGTGGGATTATGCTTAATGCTCTGTCTTTAACTTACATATTATGGATATTGTATTCCATAAATACATATAGATCTCACTCATTCTTTTTAATTACTGCATAGTAGTCTACTATGAGGCTATAGCATAATTTATGTAACTATTCACCTATTGATGGATATTTAAGTTTCCGTTTTTTTCACTATTTCAAGCATTGCTGCAGTGGACATTCTTGTACTATATAACTAGTTTTACAAATTTATTTGAGTATTTCCATACAGTAGACTCCTTAAAGTAGAATTGCAGTGTCAGAGAGAAGGCTAACTTCTAAATTTTCATAAATAGTGCCAGATTACCCCCCTAAGAGTGTGCTCACTTACACTTCTAGCACCACAGGAGCATGCTCACTTCTCTACACACTTTGCACTCTGCATAGATCAGTTTCCTAACCTGTATTAGTCTGATAAGTGAAATATGGTATCTTGTTTTAATATGCATTTTTATTAGTAGTAAAACTTTCGTGTATTTAATATCTATTTGTATTACTTCTGTGAGTTCTCTTTTTAATGTCCTTTGTCCTTTTTCCTATGTAATATTAATTTGTTTTGTAAACACTATTAAGGGTATTAACTCTTTGCCAGTCATATGTTGCAAATATTTTTCTAGTTTACTGTCTTTTAACTTCATTGATAATGTCTTTGTCATATTAAAATTTTAATATCAGGGTAGTACTAGCCCCATTGAACAAAATAGGAACCTTCTTACCTTGTTCTATGTTCTGAAACAGTTTAAATATGAAAATAATGAACTATTCCTTGAAGTTTCAATAAAACTCACTAGTAATACTGTTTGGGCCCGGTATCTTTTTTAGAAAGGGGTAAATCTTGGCCTTTATTTTCAATTTCTTCTATAATTTTATTTTTTTTTAACCAATTTCTGTTGGTATTTTGAGTGTTTTTAAGTTTTTCATTGCTCTAGACATTACTTACAGTGAACATCCCTCTAACAATTCTTATGAACGTAATTTCTTGATTCCTTAATACAAATTCCAGTTTGTGGAATTTTTGGGTGTTCACACTTTAAAGGCTTTCACAGGACTGCCAAATTGCCATCCAGAGAGACTATACAATTTATTTTCCTACCAGCAGTATATGAGTGTCCACCTTTCTGTACCCTCACCAATGTTAGGATGTTTCTTTTCTAAAAGAGTTGTAGATAAAGCTCTTCTTATTTTCCTCCTCCTTGTCACAATTTTTCTCACCCAGAAGCCAAGAATGTTAAATATATTGGGAAAAATTAAACAAAAAAAATATGAATCATTTTCAGAAAGAGAGTAAGGACCCAGTGTGGTCCTTACCACCACCATCCCACCCCCATTTAACATCTATTAAATTGCTAGAGCTGATGATGGCTCTCTTGTTCCTAAGAACCTCTCAGAAAGGAAAAAGAAGTCAGTTCAAGAGCGCTGTCAGGCTGAGGAAGAGATAGATGAAATTCGCAAGACATACCAAGAGGAATTGTACAAAGTTCGACAGCTCTTGAAAAAGGCTCGGGTGTCCACAGACCAAGCAACTGCAGAGCAGGTAATGGGAACTGAGGAATTACGGAAATAAAAGGAAAGTGGGAAGGACTGAAAGAAAGAGAGAGAAACTTCTAGTTTCTTCCTTATCCTTTAGGGTAACATTTCTCTAGTTGATGCTCTCACTTTGGAGAAAGGTGGAAGAAGATAATACAAATATGTGCAGAGGAGCCAGGAATTAAATAGAGAATCTCCTTTCCTTTTTTAAATTCCATTTATTATTTAAATAACCTGTGTCTAATGTTTAATTACTCATGTTTAATTTCAAGCAAAACATGAAAACAAGTCTATGAAAAATTCCCAACATGATAAGGCCAGTGTCCTCACCCTCCAGATGAAATCCTTCAGGCACATTATAGACCTTGAAAAGAAGCGATTGGTTTAGGTAATGGGGAAGGGAAACCAGGGATGGTGACAGGACACGGCTGAATCTCTGGTCCATTTGACAGCTAACTTTCTCATTGTAAGTTCATAAATTCATATTTGTATGTCAGTTTCTTGTGAATTTATTCAGTGTGAATTGTTGCCCTCGATCACCTCTGGGAATTTTGAGAAAAATAAGTTTCTGTACCTATATAGTTCAAGGTCTGAACTCTGAAAAGTGATCATCACATTATGGCCTTTGTCGTTTTGGAGTCCTGGCAACAATGAAATCTTCCTACTCAGATTTAAAAAGTGCATTTACTCTAAAAGTAATTAAGATCTTTTAAACAGTGTATCCCTATTAAATCTGTACTGTTAGCTTATTCTTTTTACCTTATGGAAGATGGGCTTTCCTAGATGTGACAGAACCCCCCAGGATGTGGTCATTTTACTTTCTCTTGGCAGCTGTCTCTAGTGCAGACTGAGCTACAGACCCAGTGGGCAGCAAAATGCGAACATTTGTTGGCCTCTGCCAAGGATGAACACCTGCAGCAATACCAGGAGGTGTGCGCACAGAGAGATGCCAACCAGCAGAACCTGACACAGCTTCAGGAAAAGGTAGATGTTTTCCTTGAGCCAGACAGCTTAGACAGCCCAGCTAACTTGAGGCAAGCAAGTTGTTTGAGTCTTATAGAGCCTTATAAAAGCCTAAAAGATGTTAATAGCTAAAAAACAAAATCACAGTTGTTTAACTCTTCAGTTTGTTAGTTATTATTCACATGCTTATTTTGAATGACAGATCAGTGACCTGGAAAAAGAAAAAATAGCACCAGTGTTCTAGAGCATGTTTTCCAGTATTATTTGATACTTTGTGTATTAAACAAATATTTATTAAGTGTTAGTTGTGTTCCACATATTGTGTTTGGGAAAGGGCATACAAAGAACTTTGTCCTCAAGAATCTCACAGTCAGGAAGGAACAAAGGAGAAACAGAGATACGCATTACGTGCACTGAGGCCCAGAAGAGGAAGTGCTTGGGGGAGCTAACTAGGGAAGACTTCCTAAAGGAGGTGACATTTGAGCAGAGCCATGAAGGACAGGTAGCTTTGATAAGGTGGAGAAGGGGGCAGAGCATCCTGGCAAAGGCACTGCAGAAGGATGCAGAGTGCGGTATGGTGGGATCCTCAGGCACAATAGAGGTAGGAAATGGCTCAGGGTCATGGCTTGAAAGTCCCCATATCTGGAAGTCAGTTTCTTTTATTAAAGTATCCAGTTGAAAGCTTTTGACTCAAAGATAGTGGGGGTAATCTTGTAGGTGAATAGGTTTCCACTAACACTCACTATTCATATGTCTGTGTGACTAGAACTGTTACCCCTTCCCCCTTTTTTTCATTATATTCTTGACCTGATTAGGAACAAGGCAAGTAACCTTGTTGGGAAAGAGAAAGTGAAGTTGTGAGTTGAGATTGAGTGATGAGCAAATAGAATGCTCTGACTGAGTCAGCAGGCCTGGGGCAGGGCAGAAGGGGTGGTCATGTGAGGTAGACCTCCATGAGGTAACAGTCAATGCTTAGGATGGTTCTCCTTCTCTTATGTTTCCTGACATTCACCTGGTAGTCCAGATTCCTGAGGCCACAGCCATAGTCTTTTTGTTTTGCAGTACTTAGCTCTCCAGGCCCAAGTCACAGTTCTGACAGAGCAAAATGAACAGTATATCAAAGAACTGGAGAATAACAAGTCCCAGACGTCTGGGAATGAAGCTGCCACTACAGACCCCTCAGAGAAGGTGAGCTGGTACTTTGAAGAAGAAGCAAACCATAGCATATCAAGGGATTGAGTGTGCATATCAAACATTCAGAAAGAATATGACCAATTTGTTGTGTTGATAGTTTTCATTTTTCTCACTTTAGTGATGCTCCAATTGTCTGACTTAAGTCAAAATCAACCCCTTGGAACCTAGCCACCCTGGTGGCAAATCCAAAAGAACCCTATCCTCCTGGGGTTTTAACAGATATGGGAAATGCATCTAAATCACACAAGGGGAGTGGGGGCCAGTGAATATCTCCAGCATCCATTAGCTACTAATATTTGTAGCTTGTGAGCTATCGGTGATTACAGTGGGAATGAGGCATCAATGAATGGTCTGTAAGCAGTCTTGGGCACTCATACCACAGCTTGCTTGCCCTTGATAGGGAACTTTTACAGCCAGCCCTGCTGTCACAAAGTGCTGCTCATTATTTGACAGTCCTCTCCACAGTAACAGCCTTCAGTGCCTGAGTTAATGATCAGCTGTGTCCCACTGTAGAGTTCTAAGAGGGCTTCATTTTAGCCTTCCAAGCCTCTCTGGAATTTAAATGCATTCCTTAATGACTTGATTTTGGCAGCATACATTTTGATCTTGTTTTTCTGTCCTCATATCTTCACACAGGTCAAGAAGATCATGAACCAGGTGTTCCAGTCCTTGCGGGGAGAGTTTGAGCTGGAGGAATCTTACAATGGCAGGACTATTCTGGGGACCATCATGAATACAATCAAGGTACAGTCAGCTGTTGATTATTTTGTGGAAATCGGTATGTTGCTAAGCTTAATACATTCTAAGGGATGATGAATAAAAAACTATTCAAGACTGTTCGTCAGTAATTACAGTGCCTGGAATGACGTATCTGGACAGGTATGATCTGCCTCGTGTGACAGGAAGAAACAAAATCATTTGAACTAGATGATTAGTTTGTGTTAATAAGGACTAAAGAACTAGGAGGGCCTGCTGTTTTCCTTTCAGTGATCATCTCCTCCTTGGCTTTTGAACAGATGGTGACTCTTCAGCTGCTAAATCATCAGGAGCAAGAGAAGGGAGAGAGCAGCAGTGAAGAAGAAGAAGAAGGAGGAGGAGGAGCGAGACCTCAGAGACCTTCTCAGGAGCAATCAATCTCAGCTGATTCTGGGCTGTCTCAAGAATCCATGAATAGAGAGGGGCAGGAGTCCCCCCCTGTGCCATTGGAGCAGGTAGCTGAGGAAGCTATCCCATCACTTCCTCAGACCATCCCCACTCCCCAGGATGATGTACAGAGAAGGAAAGGGGAGACCTTAGAATCAGAGGAGCTTGCAGAGATAAAGGATGGTTCCCTCCCACCGGAACTGGCTTGCATTCCATCCCAGAGAGTTCAGGGGCCCCCAGCTTCAATTCCACCTAAACCTCCAGGCTCTGTAACCGTGGACCCTGAGTGTGAGGAGATACTTGCTGCTAGCCTGATGGCAGCTAAGTCAGACGACCCATTGAGAAAAGACTTTGTCGGGGCAGTGGCTCCAGATGGCCCACTGCAAGAAAGCTCCACAACACCGTCCCTGACTTCAGACCCCAAGAAGGGGGACCCACTGGCCTTAGGGCCTGAAAGCCCAGGAGAGCCTCAGCCTCCAGAGCTCGATAAAAAAGAGGATCTCACTAGCTTGACTGGTCCGTCCAAGGAGCTGTTGAGCATAGAGGCAGGTTCCACAGATCCAGCAGCTGTCAGATCCAGCCACGGTTCTCAGCATTCCAGGTACGTTACCCTAAACACGTTTCAGGGATAGGGTGACTGCATGGGGAGGCTGTCGCCGCTGGTTTTTCTCAGGCCTGGCAACTCAGTCTTCAGAGACTCACTCACTCACTCTCTCACCTCATTCATGTGTTTATTCACAGTACCTGTATTCGCCAACACCTACTATGTGCAAGGCTCTGTGGTAGGCACTGTGATGGAGTGATAAGCAAGGCAGATTTACTTCCTGATTTTGAGGCACTTACAGTCTAGCAGAGAAGACAGATACTTATAAAAGTATTAGAATTGCCTAAAAAAAAAAAAGAAAAAAGAAACAAGGTGCTATAATAGAAACTAAGAGAGGAAATTCTTCTACTTTAGGCAGTGTCTTAGTTATCTAGTGCTGCTATAACAAACACCACAAGTGAATGGCTTTAACAAACAAATTTATTTTCTCACAGTTTAGGAGGCTAGAAGTCTCGATTCAGAGAGCTGGCTTTAGGGGAGGCTTTCTCTCTCTCTTGGCCCTGGAGGAAGGCCCTTGTCTCTTCAGCTTCTGCTTCCTGGTTTCTTGGAGATCTCCACGTGTCTTGACATCTGTCTTACCTCATCTCTCCTCTGCTCACTTGTTTAATCTCTTTTATATCTCAAAAGAGACTGACTCGAGAGACACCCGACACTAATACTGCCTTTCATAAAAAAGACAACCAATTCCCAAATGGAATTATAACCACAGGCATTGAGGTTAGGCTTTACAACACATATTTTTTGGGGACATAATATATAACAGGCAGGGTGGCTGGAGAAAGATTCTGAGAAGGTAATATTTAAAATGAAATGTGAAGGATGAAAAGGAGTCATCTATATCAGGAGTGCTAGAGAAAGATGTGGCAGTCTTCTTCCATAAAGATTTATAGCCTTGGAAACCCTATGGGGCAGTTCTACTCTGTCCTGCGGGGTTGCTATGAGTCAGAATCGACTTGGCAGCAGTGGGTTTGGTTTTTGGTATACCAAGAGACGGAGGAAGAGATAGAAGGCTGAGAGAACAGCATATGCAACAGGCCCTGACGTGGGAGGGAACATTACACAATCAGGGAACTAAAAGAAGGCACAGTGAGCCAGAGGAGAATGGACTTTAAGTATAAAACCTACTGCCATCAAGTCAGTTCTGACTCATAGCGACCCCATTGGGTTTCCAAGGCTGTAAATCTCTATAGAAGCAGACTGCCACATCTTTCTCCTGTGGAGCTGCTGGTGGTTTCGAACCGCCGACCTTTCGGTTAGCAGTCTATCGCTTTAACCATAGTGGGAAACTATTAAAGGGATTCAAACAGAAGAGTGACATGGTCTGGTTTCTTATTTTTTAAATATTGCTCTGGCTGTAGGTTATGGAGGATGTCAAGAGGGAAGGCCAATGCCAAGTGTGGGAAGAGATGGTGGCAGTGACCCCAGAGGCCAGCGACCCTTGTAGCTGGTGTACACTATAGCCTGAAGCAAGAACAACAGTGTTTTTTGTGACTTGATTTTTCTTTCAGTCTCTCTGGGGATGAAGAGGATGACCTGTTTAAAGGGGCAACTCTGAAAGTCACGAAGCCCAAAGAAGATCATGAGGAAGAGGACGAAGATGAGGTGGTAAGGGAATTTCAGGCACTGCCAAGTCTTCACACTGCCACCTGGGGGCCCTTCCCCACTGGCTCGGAGAAGAACCTCTCAAGGCAGAGAAATGGAGTCTGGTGGTGGCCCACCCCTTGGACTCTGTGTGCCGGGCCCTGTGGGAGCGGGCTTGGGGCTGGTAGTGGGCGGCTCTGCAAGCAGAGTGGGGATTGTCAGATACCACTTTATTCTTGAAAAAGGATCATAATCTCAGTCCACACAGGGATTGTTCCTACTTTAAGTGAGGAAAGTTGGGCTGCTTAGTCCTACACTGGAATGCTGAAGCCTCAGCTTTCCCCAGTATTCCCCAGATATTATTTATATTCTGAAATTGAAAAGGACTTTGAAGATCTTCTTACCTAGCATGCTTATTCATAGACAAAAAAACTGAGGCCCAGAAAGGATGATTTGCCTAAAGCCACAGAGTGAGTCAATGGTAGAGCTAGGACTAAAATCCCAGGCCAAGGCCATCTGTTTCTGAGCGTTTTTTGCCTACTCAGTCTGCTTTCCAACCTGCTGTCTTATTTTGTCATCCCAACACCACTGGGCAGAAAAGTACTGATATACTGATAGTATAGCCTCACTTTACAAAGCACAAGAGTGAAGGCCAGGAAGGTAAGTTGCTGATAGATTAGAATCCCGATTCTTGCATCTACTGTTCCTTGTTGTACTAAGTTAAACATTCTGACAGTAGGGCATTTTGACTGCTGTAGTGGGAGTTCCACTGACGTGTGTGAAGAACACAGATGAGCTTCAGGCTCAGTCCATCTCAGGGACAGAAGATGAGATTGAATGGGAGCAAATTCTGTCCCCTTATGTATCAGCCAGAGCGGGTTTTGCCTTCTGCTGAAACCTTGGAAAAATGGTTGCCACAGAGTTCGGGTCCCTCTTGCCTGGGTTCTTTTGGGGGAAGTGTACCAGTTCTTCCTGTTAGCCCTTTTTCCCAGGAATTACATTTTCTTTTGAGAATCCTGAATATGAATTCTGCACTGAAAAACAAAACAAAACAAAAAACAATTGATCATCCTAAGTGACTTCCCTAACCAGAGTTGGAATTCTTTTAACAGTGTATTATTGGTATTAATACTATTAATATAAAGTTGTTAATAACTTCTGTTGCTTAAGGACTCCGAAAACTACTTTACAAACATTCTCATTTAATCCTCTAATAACCCAATGAGGTAGGTAGGCACTTCTATCCCATTTTATAGATGAGAGGACTGAGGCTAGGGAGGATTAAATAACATGCCCAAGGTTATATAACTAGTAAATGCAGAGCCAGAACTTTAGCCAAAACAGAAGCTGTGAGCCACACTTTAAAATCCTTTACTGTCAAAGTTTAGAGATCACTTAAGTGATGTCCAGAGAAAGGTACAAGGTCTCAGTAGGTAGAGGAGCTGGATTAGCCAGGGCTCTTGGTACCGCACCATGCTGCCTTCCCTATGGCTTAGCCCTGCAGTGATTTATCCTGGACTTGTAGTAGCCCACTAGAGCAGATTCGTGTAGAATATTTAGTCCATGCCTGTCCCCAGCTTCAACCCTTGCTACCCCGTGGGATTTGTTTTCTTGGAATCCCTAGAAGAGAGGTCAGAATCTCAAACCATGCAAAGGCTAAGAGATTTTCCTTTGTGGCCCATCAATCCCCTTTCTCCCGCCTCCCTGGTAGGAGGGAGTGAGGGTAGGGTCAGTGAGACCAGGGGTGTTGGAGGCTGTGGCCCCATGTTCCTGAGGTTTCATCATCTCTTGGGAGACTCCACTTGGGAATGTAGCCAAGCCTCTAAATTCAACTCTTTCTCAAATGATGAGGTCACATCCAGAGCCAGACAGGCCACCTCAGGCCACAGCAGCAGTGTTTTCTCAGATGTGATTGTATTCTTCCCAATTCCCTTTACCTCCTACATCCTCTCTCCTCCCCTAGGGCTGCTCAACTTTGGTTTCTGTCTCTTCCTTCATCTCTCCTCTCCCACCCTTCTTTCCTCATGTGAAATGTGTAAGTTACTGCATGAGAGGAAAACCTGTCAAATCAATACATGTGCTTCACAAATAAATGCCAAAATTAGCCATAGTTGGTCCTTTTTTCTCTGTGTTGAGAAACTGCCTCCTTCTCTGCATGCTTGTCTCAGCATAATCTGAAGTGTAAGTTTGCTGGCCGTAGGGTTGGTCCTTTCAGTAAAACCCTAACCGACAACATCGTTTCCAACCTAGAGCCAGGAGCAGATGTTCGATTGTGTCACCTTATAGAGGCAGGAAGTCCAGTTGGTGCAGGGACAAGTGAGGACTGACTACTGTTTCCTGTTTTGTCAGAGCATGAAGGGATGCCCGCCCCCAGCACCCCTTTTTGGAGATGATGATGATGACGATGACATTGACTGGCTGGGATGAAGACCCAGGAAACTGAGGCCAAGGTTTCTCTCCTGGCCCTTCTCTAAGCACGCTTTTGCACAGCAGCCCTGGGTCTAGGCAGACCACAGGGTGAGGTAAAGGTGAGCATTCTGAGGACAGTGGTTCAGATACCTGAGTTAGCCAGCTTCTGAGCCCCCTGCCTAGCCATGTGAAATGGAGTGTGACCCTGTCGTCAGAACACTGATGTGTTCAACAGTCTGTGTGGTCCTGCCTCAGTCTCAGTTGGAGACGAGCTGCTAGGTTCCCTTCTAGCCACTCACCTACAGGAGTCCTGCCCTCTTCCAAGCTTTCTACTCGCTTCACAAACTGTCAGACTGATCCAGGGAGCCTTCCTTCATCCGCTTCTCAATGTTCAGGTGCACCTCGGCAATAAGACCTGTCACCTGGGGTAAGCCTCCTGGGTGAAACTTAGGGTAAATTATGTCATCTAAATCCTATTTAGTTAACAGCCTTCCCTGCAGTCCTGGGACATATATCTTTTCTCTGCCTTAAATCCGATACACGTCAGTGAATATTTGAAATTAACAAAATTAAAATAAATATCTGTGATAAAACTTGACTGAAGCCCTTGGGGAGAAATCAAGTTTGTTTCTAAGGGCTGTGCTACACTTTGGGAATCTAAAGATAGGAGTTGTAATGGATCTGGATCAGTGAATGAGCACAAAAGCATTGTGACATAATCCCTTTGGCACCTAACCCTGGAACTCTTAGGCTTTCAAAGTCACCACTCTGCTGTCCCTGTTCATAAGGTTCAGGGCGTGGTTAGCCAAAGACCAGTGCTGTAGTCCACTTGCTCCTGCAGGCTTTGCCCTGCACCCAAGGAAGCCATGCAGAAGGGGTGGGGAGGTCCCTGTATTCCATTGTCCATTATGACACCTGAGGGATTCTTCACTACTTTGAGAGTAGCTTCCATTGCCTCTGAACTCAGGGGCCAGGACTAGTGCAGAGAACAAGAGTGAGGAAATATTTGTGGTCATTTTATTTATTCCAGCATCTTCCAAAGAACCAAAACCAAACCCACTGCCACTGAATTGATTTTGACTCACAGCGACCCTATAGGCAGAGTAGAACTGCCCCATAGGGTTTCCAAGGAGCTGCTGGTGGATTCAAACTGCTGACCTTTTGGTTAGCAGCCAAACGCTTAACCACTGCACCACCAGGGCTCCGGATCTTCCAAAGACACTGCAAAAAAGTAGAATAATTTTAATAAAAATGTTTGCAAGATGGGAACTTGAATTTTACTCCATGTGGCCTGGCTCCCATATCTGTGGGTTTAAAAGCTAAGAACTATCATTTATTAAACTTCTGTCTTTGGCACTACTGTCTAGCACTTTACATAGACTATCTCATTTCCAACAACCCTTGCAGAAGATACTGCTATCCCTGTTTGATAGAGGAGAAAACTGAGGCTTACAGAGGTAAAGTAACTTGCCCAGGGTTACATAGCTAGTGAGCAGCAAAACAAGAATTCAAATCCTGGCCATTGGATTCCAGAGCCTGGGCTTTTGGCCACCACAGCAGCATCACCCTTGTCTGATCATTAAGAACCACTTGGGAGGGAGAAAGGGGCAAATGCTTTTTAGAAATACCGGTTTCTGGACCCCACCCCAGATCTCCTGAATCAGAATTTCCACTGTTATGATAAAATACAAAAATCATAGGCTTTTGAGTCTCCATGATCTGTGTTCACATCCCTGTTCCACTGGGCCTTAGGCCAAATTACTTACCTTCTCTGCCTCAGCCCCTTCACCTCGATTGATGAAAATAGACTGTTTAGCTCTAAATCATGGCTCTGCCACTTATTAGCTGGGTGACTTTAACTTCTCAATGCTTCAGCTTCCTCCTCTTAGTTTCTACTTCATGGTGAGGATTAAATGAGTTAATGTTTGTAAAGTGCTTAGAATACCGCCTGGCATCTGATAACCATAATGTAAGAATTTGTTAAATTAAAAAAAAAAAATTCTAAATAGGGAAACTACCACCTTTTATGACTTGGCGGGCTCTGAAGAATGTTGAAATGAGAGCGATGAATTGCCTACTAAGTCTGTAACACACTCTCTAGAGAAAAAAGCCCTCTGTACTCTAATAGCCTCAAATGTATTACCACATTTAAAGAGACTGTATCAAGCTCATGAGGTTGCTGATCAACCACAGAGATGCCCATCTCAGCCATGCCGCAGCGAGGGAGGCTTAGCTTGTCAGAACTTATAGATGGATGCATGAGACTCCATCACAAGACTATACTGGCATTTGAAATCTGACATCTCTGGTGATGCTGGTATAAAAAATGGCAGGGCAGAGGTATCTGACCTCTTAACTTCAACAAGGAGTATCAAGATTAACAGCCCAAGGCTGATTCCTGTGAGAGAGGGGTCAGACATACCTCTTCTCTCCAACCTTTTTACCAATTCTGATACCAGCTGTCCCTACCACGGCATTCTCTACTTCTCTGCTGGGTTCGATAATTCATGGCAATGGCCACACAGAACTCACAGACTATACTCACAGTTATGAGGTTTATTAGGGAAGTAACAGGTTACAATTCAGGTTCAGAAATGCTCCGGATACAGTTCTTCCATCAGGACTTTGGCTTCTCAGTTGCGCCGTAGGTAGGCCTCTCTCAGGCCCTCAGCCCCTTGTGCCTCTTGGGCCAGCCTGGCCTCTGCCCCGCTCAGGCAAGTGTTACAAAGCTCTTTTAGCTCTGCCAGTAAGTGCCCAGAGGCACCCTACTCTGCCCGGAAGCCTCCTGCTGGAAGGTGCTCAGCTCTCTCACTCTGTGGGTTGGTGAGCCTAGCTCCGTCGCCAGGTGCCCAGAGGCACCCTACTTTGCAAGGAAGCCTGCCGGCCAAAGGCACTCAGCTCTCTTGCTTCGTGGGTCAGCACACCTACTGTAACTGCCTTGCTCTGTGGGCCAAGAAGCTCCCCACGCTGTCTCCTGGTTCTGCTGCCTCTGCTGATGCTGTTTCTCTGCCACTGCTTCTCGTCATCTCTCGCCGTCTCTGGTGTTACTGCTCTCTGTCTCCTGCGTCTAGGAGGTTCTTAATGCAAGGATCCTGGGTCCAAAGGATGCTGCTCTACACCCCTGGCTCTTCTTTCTCGGTGGTCGTGAAGTCCCCCTTTCTGCCTCTGGGATGGCTCATTTTAAGCCTAGCAGGATGGCAAAACTGACCAATCCCCTTGTTAGGGTTCCATACACTTTTATTTGCATGGTCCCACCCCCACAAGCCATGTACCTGCTTTGCATTATTAGCAAGCCATCCAATCCCCTTGGTGGGCTATAAGCACCTCATTTGCATAGTTCCACCCAGTCATTTGATGGGAGTTACAAGACCATGGTGAGAAAGGCCATAGAAAAGTGATCCATTGCACCGCAGCTGGGCAGGTTTCCAGTTCCCTTGTAAGTCTGTATACATGGGGAGAATGCACCAGTCAATCCGGAAAGTGTCACATACTCTACTTTCTGTGACAGGTATTTCTTCTTGTAAATTGAAAGCTGATTTTTGATTATATTTTTGCTTCTGACCTCAGGGAGAGAAGGTGCTGATAATTGTGCCAACATGCTGTTTACAATCCATGTGACAGTTACTTTTCTCATAGTGGGCACCCAGCTAATATTTGTTACATGAACAAAAGAATGACTGTTGACTCTGCTGGTGTTCTGGGATGTCCACCTGTGGGCACAATGTTTCAGGGCTGGGTTTCCCTGAGCAGAGCTGCCATCTATGGCCTTCATAGCAGATCATCCTCTGACAGCCCTGCAGACAGTCCTCCCATCTCCATTCACCCCACTCCCTCAATTGTAAGGGTTACTTACATGAATCTGCTGTTGGAGTGAGAAGAAGCAGAACAGTCACAGATTGTTTAAAAATACAGATTTATTAAAATGTATTTTATTTTAATTCCCAAAGCTTAAGACCATCTTTTCATCTAGTCCATGAGCTACCTGAGTGTAGATATTACAGTATACAGCAGTGTGACCCTAGACAAATGTTTTCTCCCCTTGGGTCTCTGTTTCCTTCTCTGTAATGTAAAGAGGTTCAGATATCAGGAGAGTTCCCTTTAATTCTAAAACTGTAACAGCTTTGGTCTGACTGCGTATTCCATCTTCAGTCACTACTCCCTGTGGCTTAATCAGTATTTTAAGTGAATGAATCATGTTTGCCCACCAGATCATTGTGGGTGAGCAGTAAATTCATTGTGAACATTATTATTAAATATTGAATATTGTTAAATGCAGTCCTGTGCTCTGCATTAAGGCCACAAAGAGCTTCTCAGACATCTAGGCCCTTTAGACTGTCTTCCTCCTGCAGACAGTGCAGTCTGCTGGGAGGAGCTCCGTGTATCCAGGGTGAGCTAGGAGCCTTGACAGCAGTCTTGTGTCTGCCTTTAATCTGCTGTCAGTCATTCTCCCCCCAAAAAAGGGAAAACAGGTCTCGGCAGATGCTGCCATCCATCATAAATAAAATGAAAGAATTTCATTAGAAATTTTGTCTTGTATTAATGTGTAAAATTGTCAACTGAGTTCAGTGAGGAAAAAAAAACTTATTGTGTCAACATGATTCATAGAAGAGACAATCTTCATGTATTCCAAAGACAGAAAGGTGAGAAAAAGGAGCCAGCTTAGTCTCTGTCCCTAAAGACAGAAGAGGTCAGGAAGTTCTATGGAAGATGCTCCTTTAAGATAAGGCACAAATCAGGAGAGCAGAGGGTATTCAGGTTCCCTGCCCTTCATCACGCAAGAACGTACATCATTGTCTTGACGATCTTTGGAAATTCTTAAAAGTTTTGAGTCTCAGAGAAACCATTAGGTGCTTAACAACCCTGCCCCCAGTTCTGTTTTCTCCTTTCTCCCTTTGGTCACAACAACCTTCTTAAGGCACAAAAAGACTAGGCCTGGGCCCTGTGCAGGCTGGCTGAGGAGGGAGGTAGCTGCAATGGCCTCTGAACTCCAGGGAGCAAGAGCTGACTTCAGCTGAAAGCTTCCAGAGCTGGGGAGCAAGATGAGGAACAGCCACTAGAAGAAAAAGCAAAGGGCTGGGAGTACAATGTGTGGGGGAAAAGGAGCCCCAGCTCCCTCCAGCCCTCAATGCCTGCACATCTCCGGCCAGCTAAACCATGTTGAGAAGTGGGTAGGCTAAGTAGTAGCCCACAGCTGAGCCCAGGACCACGCCGAGGAAAATCCAGGTGTTATAGGACATTACAGCCAGCATCATGAAGTAGCCGATGATCACCTGAGCGACGTGGATTAGAGACTGGCCAAAGTGACACAAAAACCACCTAGACATGTAGAAGAATAAAGTTAATGTTGGTGATGAACTGGAGGCTGGGAGTCGATGTCAGGGAGTAAAGAGCAGCTGAGTTACAGGACCAGGTTATTTATAATTGTATGCTTAACTAAGGATAGTTTTCTTTTTATAGAGACATGTAGGAAGCCATTGATAGAGAAAGGAGAGGGACTTGTATGAGGAGCCTAGGATAATCACTTTTATGACCACATTTAGCAGTGAGCTTCCTGGCATCCTAGGCAAAAAGGAAAATGACGGGATATGTAATCTAACTTGTCTGATAAGGAACGATATAAAATGAATCGTAAGGCGGATTTCCCTGAATCTGTGTGGGCTGCAATGACAATGGAAAGAGCATGGACTTTGGTGACATTTCAATTCCTAATTCTACTATTTGTGGTCTAAGGTTAGTGTCTTAACCTCTCTGAACTTAAGTTTCCTCATCAGTAAGATAGGAATAAGAATTAATCCCTTGCAGGTTATTTGTGAAGATTTGATATCACCCATGTAAGATGGCTGGTATTAGAGTAGGCAGGCTCAGTAAATACAGGTGAGGCCAGAGCTAGAGAGAGGGTAAAATGGGGACCCTAAATGGTTGGCCTATCGAAGTGGGAAGGGAACACAAGAGGGGTGGAGAGGGTCCCACTCCCCACCCCATCCTCACCAAATTGGATATATTGCTGACAGCATTTCCTGTCATTTGCTTAGGGAAGCTGCAGATCCCCTCCTGGGTGACCTAAGAAAACCTAGTGAGATTTAGAGGAGGGCTAGGTGGCCACCCCTGTTACTAGAGGGAGGCCTGCACCAGAAGGACTGTAAAGATCACAGTTCCCTAAAGAAATCCTGAGCCTGCCAAGTGGCTGTTCATATTGCTGAGAGCTTCGGACTGGACATCAGGAGACCTGAGTTCTAGTTCACCTTACTACTTACTAACTGTAAGCACTTTGGCAAACCGGTCCTTCCCTGGGCCTCAATTTCCTTTCTGTGAAGTACAGCTAATGCTCTCTGGGCCCATCTACTTCTCAGGGTGAATGTGAGGACCCAGTGCCCATTCCCCACCCCCAGTGCCTGTTACCTGAGGCGAGTTCTGCAGACTGGGGGCAAATCTGAGTCTGCTGATTCCTGGTCTGTCTCCTCGATGAGCTGCTTGTTGATGCGGGCTGGCAGGCTCTCCAGAGCATGGTGGAACAGCTTGACTTTACCAACCTTGATGCTTTCATACAACACAGCCAGGAGCAGGATCACCACCACTGAAAGGGCCATGCCTGCCAAAGGAGGCCGAGTTGCAGGGACCTTGCGGGGCAGCACTGCTTCCATCCAGCAGCCTCCACTGGGGCCTGGTGCAGGTGGCAAAAGGGATCTCCACCCATTCCCTCTGAATCCACTCCATCTGCCTCTCTCTGGCATCTTCTTCCCCACCCTTGTTCACCTCTGAACTTCATCGTCTTTTTTCCCCTCCAGACCTTTCTTGGTGGGTTTGGCCTGCTGAGTGTGGCTTTGAGATCCAGGAACAGAAGCTTCCTGGAAAAGCCAGGGGCTGAGGATAAAGCAGAAGCCATACACCACCATCCCAATCATCTCCTCAATGGTCTGCACAAATCTCTGTTGTGTCTTCTTATTAAGGGGAGGGTATGTATAGCAAGGTCCTATTTACATGTATGTACACAAAAACTGAAAGACTGAAGAAAGAATATACAGCAAAGGAGTTAATAGTTACCTCAGCAAGATAGGATACATATTTTCTTCTCACCTAATTTTCTAAAGTTTCTACAATGAGTACTTATTACTTTCATGATAGGAAAAAAACCAATAAGATGTTTTATAGAAAACATTAAGTGCTTCAACGCTTGAGGCCCTAATACATGGCATAAACAGGATACAAACCATAACTAACAATACACAAACACCAGAAGAGAAACTGAGATTTTCTAAAAATTAAACACTCAGGCTTATCAAAAGATTTCACCAAGAGTCAAAAGAGAACCTACAGACTGGGAAAAAAAATTTGGCTATGACAAATCTGACAAAGGTCTAATCTCTAAAATCTATAGGAAAATCCAACACCTCTACAACAAAAAGACAAATACTCCAACTAAAAAATGGGCAAAGGCTATGGACAGACACTTCACCAAAGAAAACATTCAGGTGGCTGACAGACACATGAGGACATGCTTGTGATCATTAGCCATTAGAGAAATGCAAATCACAACTATAATGAGATACCATCTCACCCCAACATTACTGGCACAAATCAAAAAAACAGAACAAATGTTGGCGAGGCTGCAGGGAGATTGGAACTCTAATGCATTGCTGGTGGGAATGCAAAATGGTACAGCCATTTTGTAAAATGATAAGGCGCTTCCTTAAAAAGCTAGAAATAGAAATATCATGATCCAGCAATCTCCTAAGAATATATCCTAGAGAAATAAGAGCCGTCACAGGAATAGACATATGTACATCCATGTTCACTGTAGCATTATTCACAAAAGCAAAAAGATGGAAACAATCTAACTGCCCATCAACAGATGAATGGATAAACAAACTATGGTACATACATACAATGGAATATTATGCAACGATAAAGAACAATGATGAATCTGCAGAACATCTCACAACATGGATGAATCTGGAGAGCATTATGCTAAGTGAAATAAGTCAATCACGAAACGACAAATATTGTATGAGACGACTATTATAAAAACTCATGAAAAGGTTTACACACAGAAACAATCTTTGACAGTTACAAGGGAGAGGAGAGGTGAGGAGGAAAAAACACTTAACTAGAGAATAGGTAAGTGGTAACTTTGGTGAAGCGTAAGGCAGCACACAATACTGGGAAAGCCAACATAACTTGACCAAGGCAAGGTCATGGAAGCTTCAGAGACACATCCAAACTCCGAGGGACCAAATTACTGGGCTGAGGGCTGGAGACCATGGTCTCGGGGGACACCTAGCTAAACTGGCATAACATAGTTCATAAAGAAAATGTTCTACCTCCTACTTTGGTGAGTAGCATCTGGGGTCTTAAAAGCCTGTGAGCGGCCATCTAAGATACTCCACTGGTCCCACCCCATCTGGAGCAAGGGAGAATGAAGAAAACCAAAGACACAAGGGAAAGATTAGTCCAAAGGACTAATGGACCACAACTATCACAGCTTCCACCAGACTGAGTCCAGCACAACTAGATGGTACCTGGCTACCACAACTGACTGCTCTGACAGGGATCACAGTAAAGGGTCCCAGACAGAGCTGGAAAAAAAATGTAGAACAAAATTCTAACAACAAAAGAGCAGACTTAACTGGTCTGACAGAGACTGGAGAAACCCCAAGAGTATGGCCCCTGGACACCCTTTTAACTCAGTACTGAAGTCACTTCTGAGGTTCACCCTTCAAAGATTAGACAGGGCCATAAAACAAAACAAGACTAAATGGGCACACCAACCCAGAGGCAAGGACGAGAAGGAAGGAGGGGACAGGAAAGCTGGTAATGGGGAACCCAAGGTGGAGAAGGGGAGAGTGTTGACATGTTGTCGGGTTGGCAACCAATGTGACAAAACAATATATGTATTAATTGTTCAATGAGAAACTAATTTGCTCTGTAAACCATCTAAAGCACAATTTAAAAAAAGTAGCAATACAAAAAGAAAACATTAAGTGCTTACTAGAGTTGCTGTGTAAAATGAACTGCTAATTGCTACTTGTATTTTACAAGTAGAGGAAATAATAAATGGTCTGGCTATAGTATCTTATTGAGCTCCCAAAAGGAGATCATCTGCAGGTTTTAAAAATTACAGGGAATTGCACGTACATGATAAAAAAAATTCAAATAGTGCAAAAGAGCATACAGTGAAAAGTAAGTCTCCCTCCCACCCCAGTCTTCCAGAGCCCCAGCCCCCTCCCCAGAGAAAGTTCTGTTAGCAATATGTTGTGTAGCCTTCCAGGGGTACTCAATGCACATATAAACATTTGTCTAAATGACAGCATCCTATCTATGCATACCTTTCCACATCCCGACTTCATCACCCAACTGTACCTTGTATATGGTTCCCCGTTAGCACACATATCTACCTTATTTTTCCCAGTGGCTTCATAATATCTGTGATAGATTATATTTTCCAAAGACGGCCACCACAATATATCCTACTCTACATGCTGTTCTTATAATGTTATGTCAACACTTCTGCCATCAGATGGTGGGGGTCCATGTTCCCACCCCTTTAACGTGGGTAGACATTTGTGACTGCTTCAACTAATAAAGGTGGAAGTAATTATATGTGTGACGTCCAAGGCTGGGTCTTAAAAATGCCATGCACTTCCATCTTATTCTCTTGGGACACTTGCTCTTGAACCCAGTCATGGCCGTGAGGAAGCCCAGGCCATAGGAGAGGCCTCCTGTAGATGTTCCAGCCAACAACCCCAGCTGAGGTCCTGGCTAACAACCAGCATCAACCACCACACACGAGAGTGATGACTTCAGCTCCAGCCACTGTCTGGCTACACATGCATGACAGACCTGGAGGCAAGGACCACTTAGCTGAGCCCATCAACTCACAGAACCTTGAGAGAGAATAATAAAATGACTGTTGTTGTTTTCAGCCATTAGCTTATGAAGTGATTAGTTACTCAACAACAGATAACCAGAATGGTTTGACCATAATTTATTTGATCAGTATCTGCAATGATGGGCATTTGGGCTGCTTCCAGGATACTTGTAAGATGAAAAATATGTTCATCATGAGTTAGTGTCCAACTCCACGTTTTCAAGTCAAAGGAATCCTCTTTCCTTTCAAATTGGTGTCACCTGAGTTCCAAGCCTGCATCAGCCTCTTGGGACTTCGGAGCTGGTGCTAGACAATGAACCCTGGGTAAGGGTGGGGTCAGGAGGCAACAGGAGCTCTTGACCTAGTTCTGGCTCTAATACTCACTGTGTGATCCTCGACAAGTCTCTTACCCTTCTGGGCTTCAGCTCTTTCCCTTGTAATATAAGAAAAAGCTGCCTTCCCAGCCTCCCTCTCTGGGCCTTTGTGAAGATCAGTGGGATAATGGAGCTGAGAGCCCTTTGCTTTCTGAAGGGCGGTAGTTGCAAATGGAATTTTTAATACAAAGCTCCTGCTCAATGCTTATGCAAGAGAGTCAGCTCCTTTACATTCCCACAGAGCATAGCAACAAGGGGAACCTGGGCTACCAGGTCAGGTTTGGGCTTCCCCATTCTTACCTGTAGGACTGTGGACACTCCAGAAATCAAACAGAAGCACCACCTCATTCGAAAAGATGAAATGCATCTGAAAGGGAAGGGACTCTGCATCACAGGGGGCTTAGGGCAGTGGAAGTTGTGGTCCCTAATGCTCTCCAGCAGCTTCCTCAGGGAGAACAGAAACATGGGGCCATTGGACTTAGGTGCATGAAGGGCCATTAGAGGTCATCAGGGCCAACTGAGGTCAGACAGGGTGGGGACCTACCCAAGGTCCCACAGTAGGTCGGCAACACAGTTATAAGTGAGCTGGCCCTGCTCCAGGTGGAAGTGAAGGTGGGGGAGTGTGCACCCTCACTGGGCCAGCCAAGCTCTGGATGGTGCAGTGCCTCAGGCTCAAGGGCTTTGTATACATTACTTCATTTCAGTCTCAACAACAATCTTGTGTGACATGGACAGTTAGACCCATTTTATAGGAAGGGAAATTAGGCTCAGAGAAGTTAAATAAGTTACTAAAGTTCACAAAGCTAGTAAGTTGGCAGAGCTGGGATTCAAACTTGGGTCTAGATGGATGCCAAAGCCCTATGCATTTCAGTACACAATGCTGCTTCCCCATCTCCAAGAAAGGAGGATGAGATGGGAACTGCATGGTGATTTTAAATACCATCACCAGGCTTAATGATTGCATTTGGCAAGACTGAGACCAGATGGATCGATCAGTTAGATCACCCTCTCAGGGAAGGTCCCCCCTAGTCACCAGGTAAGACCTCTCCAGCCAGCAGGAGCAGCTCGCAAAGACTGCCATGGGCTCACTCAGCTGAGGAGACCCTGGAGGTGTTGGAGTCAGCTGGTGGAAGACTCTGCCTTCTAAGACAATGGCCAAATACTAGAATCCTCCAGTGTCAGAACCAGAAGTGTCCTTGAGGAATTCTGAGTTCCCTGGCTTTTAATACATTTTTCTTTGGGGAATATTTTGTTCAAATAAAATTTTACTTACTACTAACTCCATTATATAAAACACAAAACAAAGGGCTCCGGGTGAAGAGGGAAGAGGGATCCAAGCTCTGCTGAAACTTAAGTTTGAAAAAAACTGACTTGATTCAACTTTGGCCCCCTCTTCACCCGCTATCTTATTTCCTGATGAATCCTAAAAGGGTAAGGTGTTTGCCCAAGACCTCATAAGAAGAAGCCTAGTCACTCTCAGCTTAAGCAATTTGTGTTCAAGGGCAGAGGATCAGGAGACAAGCCGTGGGTTCTCTTGAAGTCTGAAAGGGCCACCAGTTCTTAAAGGAAGTTCAAGCTGAGCAGCCTTCAGTGGGTGGGGTGGAGGGATGGGCAGATTAGCTGCCATTCTGTCAGGAAGCTGCACCACTTAGGACAATGTTTCTCTGCCTGGTGCCTGGGATGTTCTATGGGCCCCTGGAAACCACAGTCACAAAGCTCCAAACTCCTCTTTACAGATCACAGCCCCAAACAATGGGCTGTACATGTTCTAATTTTCTTCACTCCCCTTGCTCTCAAAATTTAGGATCACAGTAGACAGTAAAGAATAGTAAATTGAGTCTAGGATTTGAGGCAAGACAGATCTGTCCTTCGGGGCCTCTCTCAGAGTCTTAGTTTCCTCCTGGGGTTGCCGAGAGAAAACATTTGTGAAGCCATCCACACAAGGTGACTCACAGTGAATGCCCCATAAACCCAAGTTTGCCCATGCAGGTCGAAGCAGGAGGGGCTTTAGAGAGTATTTCTCAAAGTGTCCCATGGGAAAACTACAGGATATTAAGGGGTACTCTGAAAAATGGATTCTGTGGTCAAGTAAGTTTGGGAAAAACTGGAATTAGGTAAAATAAAGTTTAACAGTTGTCTTTGCTACCTTAGGAACTTTTTTTCTTTTACTGTCTTGCTGAACATCCTGTGGGAGAGTGTCTCGCGAAAGACCTTTTGGGAAGTGTTCGTCTAGAACAACCCTCTCTTTTCATATTTGGAAGGAAAATGATATGAGATAGTACTTACTGAGCACTTCATGCCAGGCACTATTCTAAAAATGTTACTTACATCTTAATTCATTTAATTATAAGAGGAAATTACTCTTCTTAGCCCTATTTTATAGATGAGAAACGGGCACGGAGAGTTTAACTTGCCAAGGCTGCATAGCTAGGATTTCGCCTCTGCAAGCTGGCTTCAGACTCTGTGCTCTCAATCATCCCACCACACAGCCACTCAGGGCAGCACATGGAGCCCCAGAGGCAGCTGCAGCGTGCCCAAGGTCACACACTGAGTCAGTGGCAGCGTAAGGACTAGAACCCAGGTCTTCCTACCAGCCCCTCACTCGTTTGACATCAGAGGAAAACAGGCACTAAAATGTGAAGATAGGAGCCCACTGTATTTTGCAATATTAGAGAAGATACCCTAGACGTAGTACTAGAGACTGTCTTTAGGTTTTAGTTTTAACATGTTTGGAAAGAAGATGTGAAAAACAGCAGAAGAGGCAGCTATAGCTACTTTGGAGAAGAAAAGGGAAGGAATTGGGCGTGGGGATGGAATATATAAGGATAGTGGGCCTCAGCCTTGATCCCACAGCAATCCTTAGCCCCTCCCAAGGGTGGTCAATAACCGCGAGTCAGTAACTGGCTGGTATTTCCTGGAGAAAGACAGTTTACATTAAATGAACAAAGGAAACAAACAAGGACCAACCTGGGGATTGGAAAGCAAGGCCACAGCCCAGAGGAATATAGCTGGAAAACAGGACAAAAAAGGCAAAGAGAAAGCGGGGGTGGGGGGCTGGGGGTGGGGGTGGAACGCAGGTGTGGATGAGCAGCTGCTGTTAGGCCTGGATCTACAAAGGCAGAGTAAGTTCCAGGTGAATTGCTGGACATAGTGGAATGTGCCCTGGCCTGGGAGACCTGGGGCCTTATCCTGGCTTTAGCCTGTCTCTGTAGGACCGTCACGAGCCCTGCAATGGCAAATGGCACAGAGGGGAGGGACAGCACATCACCTTAGAATCTCCAGGGCCCTTATTAAAAACGCAGATTCCTGGGCCTCCTCAGACCCCTAAATTAGAACTTATGGATGGAGCCACAAAAGGCAGGGGAGACATAAGATTTTGGCAAGCCCCTTTAGGGGATTCTGACGCTCACTACAGTTTGTCATAGCTTGAACAGAGGCAGCAAAGCCTCGTGGTCAAGGCAAGGACATGGACTTTGAAGCTGCACGGCCTGGATTTGCCTACCAGCTCTGCCAGGAACCAGCTGCATGACATTGAGCTACTACACAGAGCAGGGCCCCTGTGGTTCTGTCTCCGTATCTGTAAAATGGGAATGGGACTTGAGGAATCCTCTCCCTTGGTTTGGCCTCACTCTCACAGGCCCTGTTAAATTGGTGCAGACAGACTCCCAGCTTGAGCTCCACTCCTATCCTAAAACCCTAATAAAAGGAAAAAAAATGGCCTCCAGTCAAAAGTGAGTGTGCCTCTGGGTTTCTGGGTTGAGTGGAGACCTCATTCATGCATCTGCTCAATCCGAGTTCAGACTTGGACACCGCAGCTTTGGGCTTGGTTGTCGTTGTTGGGTGCCATCGTATCATTTTCAACTCATAGCAACCCCATGTGACCGAGCAGAACTCCCCCATAGGGTTTTCTAGGCTGTAATCTTTACGGGAGCAGATTACCAGGTGTTTCTCTGTGGAGCGGCTGGGTGGGTTCCAACTGCCAAAATTTCAGTTAGCAGCCCAGTGCTTAATCACTGTACCACCAGGGCTCCTTTTAGGTTTGGTTGTGGTGGTAGTGTTGAGTGCTGTCAAATCAATTCCAAGTCATAGTGATCCCCGGTGACAGAGCAGAACTGCCCTATAGAGTTTTCTTGGCTGTAATCTTTCCAAAGGCAGATAGCCAAGTCTTTCTCTTGCAGAGCTGCTGGGTGGGTTCGAACTGCCATTCCTTCGGTTAGCACCTGAGCTTGGTAGAGAACTGGAAATAGACTTGCCTATTCTACTCCCTGCACTCAGCAAACACACCTTGCAGTTTTAAAAGGGGTCTGCTTCATGTCATCAACCCCTGCCTGTGCCTACACAGGGGCCAAGCACATTGGAGGTTCTGTATCTGCAGGACAGAGAAAGAAATGTACCACCACCTGACTCAACAGAACAGCCAGGCAGCTGTGTCTGCTGAGGGCCTGCATGTGCCTGCACTATGTTCACCTTTCAGCCTTCACTTCAGTCATCCCCAGACATCTCTGCCAGGTGGATACTATTATTAACCTTCTTAAATAAACAAGGAATGCAGAGAGAGGCCCACTTATCTGCCCAAGGTCACTCGGCAATCAGGCAACCAGAGCCAAAGATCCTTCAGGCAAGCCTGTGCTAGTTCTCAAACCTCAGCAGGCATAACAAGCACCCTGGATGTTTCTGGGGCACGTGCCTGTGGGGCCACACTCTGAGAAATCGTCTGAACCATGATGCCTCCCAGTAGGGACTGGTCAAGCAAATTATGTCATCGTCTCGAAATGGAAGCCTATGCAGTCATTTAAAAAATCATGCTGAAGAATTTAAAAATAAAAAACAGCCCCTCCTCCAATATTAAAGTGGTACACGTTCACTGCAAAAAGTTGAAACAGTACCAAAAAGAAAATAAAAATCATTTTGAGTCTTCACGACCCACAGATAGTTCCATTAGAATTTCAAAAAGAATTATTTGTTGACATGGAAAAATGTTCACAAAAGTTGATATGCAAAAACAAATCAGTACAGGAAACAACCTAAATGTCCATCAATGGATGAATGGCTACACAAAATGTGGCATATACATACAATGGAATATTACTCAGCCACGACGAGAAATGAAGTCCTGAAGCATGCTACAACATGAATGAATCTTGAAATCATGCTGAGTGAAGTCAGTCAGTCACAAAAGGACAAAGACTGTATGATCTCACTTATATGAAATAGGTAAACATATACAGACCAGAGTTTATTACTGGTTACCAGGGGCGAGAGGGTGGGAGAAAGGGAGAATCTCTGCTTAGGGGGCACTGAGGTTCTGTTAATGGTGGTGGAAAATTCAGAAATGGTTAATGGTGACGGCTGCACAACATGAATGCAATCCATGTCACTAAATTGTACATGTAAAAAATGTTGAATTGGCAAATATTTTGTTACATATATTTTTACCACAATTAAAACAAAACAAAACAAAAAAACAGGTACAAATAATTCTGTGAAACTCCACTTACACTAGAGGTAGGCTCACTCAGCTTCAGCAGAAGCCTCTGGCACCGTCTATGCCAGGCAGCTGAATGGGGGAGGGGAGGCCATAACTCATCTCTGAGTCCACTTGGTAAAGCAGTTGATATGAATGGAACGTCCCCAAACCAAAACCAAAACCACTGCCACTGAGTCGATTTTGACTCATAGCGACCCTACAGGGCAGAGGAGAACTGCCTCACAGGGTTTCCAAGGCTGTTAATCTTTATGGGAGCAGACTGCCACATCTTTCTCCCTTGGAGTGGCTGGTGAGTTCTAACTGCTGACCTTTTGTCTGGTTAGCAGCCAAGCACTTAACCACTGCACCACCAGAATGTCCCCAGTGGCTAATTAATCAGGTAAGGAGTTTTCGTAACTGGTTTCTTCGTATCATCCTTGGGCCTGGGCCAGCTATCTATGGACCCCAAAACAGTCAAGACACCTTTTACAGTAGACCCGGACACTCACAGAACAACAGAGTTGCTTCAACCAACAAATATTTATTTTTATCGTGCCACAGATGTGCAGGCCCTAGAGATGCAGAGAGAATGAGACAAGTCCTTGGTCCTTATGGAGCTAACAAACAATCTAACGGGAGACAGAGAAGTGGACAGTTACAACAAAATGTATATCATCAGAGAGAGAGAGGCACAGTGGAGGCTGGGGGTGCTGAGAATGAAGCCACCTGGGATATATACCTAACTCGGCCAGAGAGGCAAGTGGCTAGGACAGCTTCTGACGCAGGAAGGCCAGGAGTCAGCCAAGGGGAAGATGGAGGACCATAGAGAATGTTCAAAGCTGAAGTGCCGGAAAAGAGTATCTGGTCCCACTCACTGGGGAGTCCAAAGCCTGGGAGGGTCAAAGACTCACCTAAGGTCCTTCAGCCTACCCTAACTAGTTGCCAGAGTCGATTCCGGCTCCTGGCAGCCCCATGTGTGTCAGAGTGGAACTGTGCTCCATAAGGTTTGCAACAGTTGATTTTTCAGAAGAAGATCACCAGGCTTTTCTTCTGAGGTGCCTCTGGGTGGACTCAAACTTCCAAACTTTCAGTTAGTGCCGAACGGGTTAACCATACCACCCAGGGACTCCCAGCCTATTGTACTCTTGCCTTTTCACTGCAGAAGAAGATTCAGAGCAACACATCCTGGCTTAAGGGAAGGTACTCGGGGCTGCAGTTTTCAGTTAAAGGGCTTTGTGGTCAGATACACAAGTTCGGGCCCTAATCGTGTTTTCACACTTGGAATGAATCTCAGTCTCTAGCAGCTGAGTTTATCATACCTGTGCTTTTATTCAGGGCCCCACCCTGGGGGCGGGGGCGAGGCGCAGCTGTGAAGGAGGGAGCAATCCCTGGTACTAGTTTTCTTCTTTATTTTCTCATTTGGGGTTACTTACACTTTGAGAAAAGTTTCGTCGTTTATAAACCAAACAATTTAAGGGAAGAGGAAGGTCCCATTCCTGCCGCTGACTGGCTAGGGAGGTTTTTACAAGCTCGTCCCATCTATTTCCCCTTTTAGAGGACTGGCAAGGGCTGGCGTGGCGTTTGACTAAACGACCTATATCATCTTCCTGTATCTTACATTCTATGACATTATTCATGGGTTGAAGAAAACGATATGATTTCTTCAAAGAACAAAGAGTTTTGCAAGCTCTCATTCTCTTCAGCCCAGATGAACCCTACCGAGAAAAACAGCTTATATGAAATGCTATTTCTGCCCCAACTTGTTCGGAGGATAAGCAGCTGGGTGTTTTTTTCCCGAAAGAAACAGACTACAAGGTTGTCAAGGGCGGGCAATGGGTCCAGGAGTGTGTACTCAGTGCTTGAGCGTCGGGCGGCAGGCTGAAATGCTTTGGGGCTTTCCTCTTGCAGGAAGCCTTCCCAGAATCTCCCTGTTCCCAAAGTCACTGCCTTCCAGCTCCCCGGGCGCTGACCAGAACCCCCAAATTAGTCCCTCTTCACCCGCCCGCGCCGCGCCCTCGTGCCGCGCCACAGCTGGCGCTCAATAACTGCTCGAGCTGGACTGACATGGGCCCCGACAGGAGGGACAAATAAAAAGAAACACCTAAAGCTACCTGCGGCATCCCCTCAACCTTGTTCCCGCTGCTGACAAGGCTGTCAACACTGCCCTCGCCAGTCCTGGGCAAGGAGCGGCGAGGTTCTTGCGGTGCCCGGGCTGCTGCTGGAGGCGGCCCCGCTCCAGCGAACCATCCCGTGTTAGCCTCCCTCGGGCGCGCGCGGTACTCACCTGCATAGTGAGCGCGCTAGGCGGTGCGGGGGCCGCGTCAACTAGCTTGCTTCTCGACGCTCGCGATCAGTCCTGCCGCCGCCACTGTAATCGCAGCCGGGCTGCGCGGACCACGTAGGGGACGAGGCGGGCGCGCGGGTGCCTGGGAGTTGTGGTTCCCACGGAACGCCCCGCCCCGGAGCCTCGGGCACATCCACTAGGTCCTCACCCACCCGAGAACCGACGGAGAGCTGCGCGCTCCTAGAGGAGCAAGCAATGCGGGGGTACCTTTTGCGTTCTGTTTGGTTCCGTATTGTTTTGCAGTTGACTTGGTCTTCTTAATTACCATAAAAATGTTCCTTGCTCAGTAAAATGTGTTCATTGTAATAAAGCATTCGAAACTTACTTAATACATATTGAGTTGAAAATTGAAAAATCCATTCTATGGGTATAATAGCAACAAATTAGGAGTAAATTAAGTCATACCACAGACATTTAATGTAGCCATTAAAAGATGTACCCATTAAAAGATACAGTACACATTAATTGCTGTCAGTAAGTTGTACATCTGTAAAAAGTTGAATTGGCAAAAGTTGTGTGATATATTTACAACATCAACAGCAAAAGAGTAGCTGCTGAGGCTGTTTATGCACAGTCAAACATCTCATGGGATTTGTTTCCTTGATTTGGAGGTTTAGGGTCATGGTTTCATGGGACGTCCCAGTTAATTGGCCTGATAACATGTTTAGTGCTTCTGTCCTACTTCCTAGTTCGTAGTGCCTGGAGTCTTAAAAGTTTGCAAGCAGTCATGCAAGGCACAGCAACTGGTCTCTGTTCTCCTGGAGCAACAGAGAAAGAAAGAGAATCAGGGATAAACTTGAAACCCTTTACCATTTAGTAGATTCCGACTCATAGCGACCCTACAGGGCAGAGTAGAACTGCCCCCATAGGGTTTCCAAGGCTGTAAATCTTTACGGAAGCAGACTGCTACATCTTTCCCCTGTGGAGTAGCTGGTGGGTTCAAACCACCCATCTTTTGGTTAGCAGCTGATAGCTTAACCACTGTGCCACCAGGGCTCCTTAGAGTCAGGAACAGGAGGAGAAAACGGAATGCATGGCTAATTGCCTCCATGAACAACTGCCTCCTCTGCCATGATACCAAAAGAACTGGGTGGCGCCTGGCTACCATAACTGAACATTTTGATCAAAGATTCTGTATAAGAATTCTGATCCAAAGGGGGGAAATGCATAAATAGAATTCCAATTTCATGGACTCTAGGCTTTCTGGAGCCATGGAGACTGGATGAACCCCCGAAACTATTGCCCTAAAATAATGTTTAAGCCTTAAACCAAAATATCCCCTGAAGTCTTCTTAAAACCAAACAATGGTTTAGCTTACTTGTAAAGAATGTCTACCTTGAGTATTATGTTCTTTTAATATCCATCTATATGGGATCAGATTGACAACAGCAGCTGAAAAGATTAGACAGGAAACTTAGGGGGCGGTGAGTTTATGTTTATTGGAAGGAACAACTCTGGAGGGTGAGAATGGTTACACAACTCGAAGAATGTAATTTTAATTTTTATTGTTACTTGGGTTACTAGGGTGGTAAGCTTTTTTTTTTCTTATTGATGTTTCTGTGTTTGTGTATTGCCTGTCCATTTCCTTGACCAAGTTTTCTTCTTGGGGAGTTTTTCGAGATGAGGGACTTTGTTGTTGCTAGGTGCTGTTGAGTCAGTTCTGACTCACAGTGACCCTATGTACAACAGAACAAAACACTGCCCTGTCTTGCGCCATCCTCACAATCGTTGCTATGTTTGAGTCCATTGTTGCAGCCACTGTGTCAATTCTTCTTGCCAAGGGTCTTCTTCTTTTTCGCAGACCTTCTACCCTACCAAGCAGGATGTCCTTCTTCAGGGACTGGTCCTTCCTGATAACATCTCGAAACTATGTGAGACACAGTCTTCCCATCCTCGCTTCTAAGGAGGATTATGGCTATACTTCTGCCAAGATAGACTTGTTCGTTCTTCTGGAAGTCTGCAGTGTATTCAATATTCTTTTCCAACACTATAATTCAAAGGCATCATTCTTCTTTGGTCTTCCTTATTCATTATCCAGCTTTTGCATACACATGAGGTGATTGAAAATATCATGGCTTGGGTCAGGTGCACCTTAGTCCTCAGACTGACATCTTGTCACTTTGTCAATCTTCCTAAGAGGGGCTCCTTAGAGAAACCTTACCAGAGACAGTATTAGAAGACATTGAGCCTAAAGTCTGATCCTAAACCGTCTAGTGTTGGCTATGGGACTTCAGGCAAATAGCTTTACCTTTCTGAGCCTCAGCTTCCTGGTCAATAAAATGGAAATAATAACAGAATAGAATATATGTCAAAGGAGCATTGTAAGGCTTAAATGGGAAAATGTCTGTTCAATTCTCAGCATAGACCCTGGGAGTGGGGCTGGCCAAATAAATGGTAGCCATTATTATCTTTAAACCCCCAAAACCAAACCCGTTGGTGTCAAGTCGATTCTGACTCATAGTGACCCTATAGGACAGTATAGAACTGCCCCATAGGGTTTCCAAGGAGTGGCTGGTGGATTCGAACTGCCAACCTTTTGGTTAGCAGCTGAGCTCTTAACCACTGCGCCACCAGG